GCTTTACACCCTCAGGGAACATTGATGATCAGCTGCAAAGTATCAATAGAGCAATTTAAATTATCAGTAAAGAAATGTATTTCCATCACAGCAATATGTTAGATATTGTCAAGCTTTTTAGGTTAAATAGAATACTGACAGTAACATATTACACCTACAAATGTTACTTTTAAACATTTTACAACTGAAAGTAGATTGTATTTTAACGTGAAGCTTTATGGGGTCCTTATATTTACTACTTACACAGTTTTTATATGCACTTTCTCTCTTGTGCCTAGATTGCTTAACCCAATTTGAACACTGACTGAAAGGAGAGGCAGTGTGGTGTACCATTGTGAACACTGTGGCTATTAAATTATCATTACCAAAAAGCAGAACAATACAGCTACTCATGAATGTTGTGAGAGACAGAGGGAGCCATAAACATTTGAGAGACCCTCGTCACCCGCCCCCTCCGCTTCGGGACCATCCCATTTGTCCGTCATTGCCAGAGCAGAGGAGGAGTGACCAAGGAGGGGAAAAAACTTAAGGAAAAAAACTCAAGACACAAGGATATACAATCAGCTACACCAACTCTGAGGCAACACGCAAGGACTGAATAGGAATGCGCTAGTTAAGATCACAAAGAGGAAAAACAGAGAGAGAGAGAGAGAAGGAGAGGAGGGAGGTGAGAGGCTGTTAAGACCTCCTCCAAACTGTGACCATCGCACTCAGACAGACTTTGGTGACAGCTGGTGGTCCGGGCCGCGATGGGCTGCAGAGAGAATGGACACTCCCATTGACATCTACAGACACTTCTCTTGGCTCAAAAAGGTCAGAATTATTTATAACAGAATCAAGAGCAATTCTGAAAAGTGTAAAAAAAAAAAAAAAAAGGAAGAAGTTTGCGTGTATGTGGATATGTTCAAAGTGTGAAACCACAGAGATCTTGGAATGTTGTTAAACAGTCACGGAATGTCAGGAAAATGAATGACAAGTTCTTGGAATGCTGGGATGTGGAACAAGTTAGTCAAGTTTGAGTATTGCTATGTGAAGAGATTGAATTGTCCTGGAAATGTTAAGTGATCATCACAAAATGAATTGAAATTAGCTTGACTGAATTTCTTGGCAAGATGCGTGCCATTTAAAGCTTATTATACCGTAAAAATGTGCAGAAACATCTTGCAGTTATCCTTGTACCAGAGTCATTTTACTGTTATTATTACGACTTTAACTTCTATCAAACTTACAGATTGTCATAATGAGTAAGAACATTTCATTTTTGATTTTTGGGCACTTTATAATGAATGAAAATGAAGCACTTTGGTATCTAAATTAGACCATAACGTTGTAAACCACCAAACTGTCTCTCAAACCTCGTTTCTATGAATACAAATTAATCACAACAAAATGTGCGCTGGGATTCACCGTAAATTTCTACCCCATTTTTTATTGTAGGAACGGAAAATGACACTTATTTCCTTAAAACACAATTAACTTATTACTATGGATGTAACAATAACCGAAATATTGTGATATTGTATCGTCAAAGTTCTCACAGTAATATCATGGACCCTCACAATATATCGAATTACAAGTCTCTTTGCTTAAATTAAGAGTTATAGTGCAGCAATTGCTAAAAAAAGACAGAGGGAACTACATTGACCATGATCCTTTGGTCCATTACAGTGCAGCCTACATGAAGAAATAACAGTTCTAAGCACTTTAAAGTCTTTGGATTAAGTCTTGTCAAGGCATTTTAAGAGGAAAAAGTAGCATATTAACAGTTTTGTTAGTCTCCACAAAATATCGCAATAAATATTGTACCCTGAGATGTATATTGTGAAAATATCATACCGAAAAATTTGAATATATCGTACCGTGAGGTTCATACCGTGACAATATCGTACCGTGAGACTTGGATATTGTTACTCTCCTGCTTATTACACAAGAGATATAAGAGATATAACTGTTATTTATACTTCAAATCACTACTAAACAGCTTTGTATGAATAAAAGTTCAAATATTATGAAACATTCTAGGACAAAATCAGCCTGTAAATAGTCTTATTATATCCAATTAAAGCCCCAGCCGATATCATGGAGCCGATACCTTATCCAGCTAATTTTTCAGTATTGGCGCCAATATTTAACACCAGTATCTATATCACTGCATCCCTTGTTGAAAGCTGAGTTTGACAAATGACTTTGTTTTGAAGATCATTTTCTCTTTGTTATATTTGATGTATTTTCTTCATTGTCTGGATCTTATTGTATTCCTTCCTGTGGTACGGAGTTTCCTTATGTAATTTCCCTCTTCTGATTAAGTGCCTGAAGCATCCATATTTGTTTGTCTTCTTGTTACGAAAACATGGAGAGTGTGCTGGCGAATGTTGTTAGTATCACATTAGGAGATCATCTGATGGAGTCTGACAATGGAGCGTGTGATACAGGAGGATTTAATCAGCCCGGTTCAGTACAGGGGTCAGCTTGAGTGTCTTCTCTGCTTTAACACTTCAGATATTTTCAAGTAGTTAAGGGCATCTGTGTTTGTTACTCAGTGAAGTTGTAGTAAATCACTGAATTTTGAATTGAATTGAGTCTTCTGGATCTACAGTGTTTGTGTATTTTTGTGGTACTTGTAACTTGGTCTGGTTTGGTCTCCATGAAGATAGAAAGGTTTAATACCATATAGTGAAACACTCCATACAAAGCAATAAACTCTTCATGGAGAAAAGTATTTGACTTGAAATAAAATAAGATTAAGCTGATCCAACTGTGTTATGTACTAGCTTTTTTCTATCCCTCAAGTAATGACAAAACAACAATGTATTAATAACATTTTAAACATTATGAGACTTTACGGGCCGACAACAACCAGTAAATAGTCTTACTGCATCGACTGACCCAACCCAGCACATTTGTCAGTATTGGTGCTGATATCCGATACCATTATCTGATCGGTGCATCCCACGGTTTAACTTGTAAGACGTAATGAGTTGTGTTAATTGAGGACCCCCTCGAAAACGAGATGGCAAGACATCTCAAGGGGCTTATCCTCCAAATAAATAAATTCTAAATAATTAATTGTTTTGGACAGACCTAATGGATTCACACATGACCTGTTCTAGCCCTTTGAACACATTTCTGTTGTATTGCATGTCAGAAATGTACAGTACACTGTAAAGATCTTATTCAAATCATGTGGTTGATAGTTCCCCAAAGGAGCCTGACACATGGTGAAGCGTGCGAGAACAACCTTCATTAAGCTGTTCATTATAGGGACTGTCTTCTGTACTGTGCCTCAGTGGAAGAGTTCAGGTCAAACAAGTAATGTAAATGTAACTACCTTGGGCTGGATGATATCATTTTTTATATTCATATGATCGATCATGGTTCATAATTAGGGCTGGGTATCATTAAGAAGTTGCTGATATGATACATACCTCGATATACAGGCCACAATATAGTACATATCTCGATACACTGCACTTTCCGTTCGATACGATATATTTCAAATTTGATTCGATACAGTTCAATAAAAAATAATGGCTAACTCATGGCTGTGATACTAAAAGTCTTTGCTAAACCACATTTTGTGCAAAGTTCTGTTTTGTGAAACATGCACACTTTAATCATCAAAACAGTGAAAATGGCATAAATGAGTTTCCTTCCTCTAAACCAGCATCAAAACTGTAGAGTAACAAAATAATTTAGTAAAATAAAGCAAAAACTACTCCTGGTGATATATCGATACAGCTGTCCCCAATACTGTATCATCATATTAAACAAGAGGATATATCGATTCCCGTATTCACAATTCAATTTTGTTTTCTTTTTATGGCTTTCATTATTAAACTCCGCTCCAGACAACATGCTCATACTGCCACTGGATTAGATTAAAAAGCACCAAGCATAGCATTGACGAGTTGAATCATTTGTATCTTGTTTTGATTAATTTCCGGCCCGACTACCACCACATTAAACTACAAATATTAAAACTTTGAAAAGAAAGTTTGTTCTGGTCAGACTGGATACATAAAATATTTACACACATAACACAATCTGTACATTTGCTTTTCACTCCCATGTTTCTCCTAAAAAGTAAACTTTATTATGATAGCAGGAAGGAAGCCATTACAAGCACTCTGGACAATCATGTTAACGCCTATGATTTAATGTGTTTCAGCAGTCAGTTCTGTTTTTGAAATAAGTGCAGAGAATTGGGGTTTGCATGGTGTCCCCCACAAGGCATTATCAGTGACTCATTTCAAGTTTTAATCCAAATTTATATATTGGGATGTGGTTTTGGAGATTGTGGGAGAGATGTGCGTGAGCAGACAGCAGAGTCAGATGATGTGGGCCTCATCATGCGCTCAGTGAAGAATGCTCATCTGAACAGCAGTGGGTCTGTGCTGTGCAGTCTTCCACTACATTTATAGTTTGAACTAATTTTATTTAACTCTGTGATTCATCTGCAGCCAGACCTCTCCCAGAGTTCCTCAAATGTGATTTTCTCCCAGAGCCAGAGTTCAGAGGAAGTCTTATCTTGTAGGCTACTTTATTAGTTTTTCTGTGTTGTAGCCTTAAGAAATGACACAAGGGATTGAATTTGTATTAACCCATATCAACAGTTTTAACCAGTAGGACCTTGTCAAAAATACACACAAGTATTTTTTATTTATTCTTCATTTAACTAAGAAAGTCCCACCAAGATTTATTTTTCCGAATAACTAAATGTTTAGACAAAGAAACTGAAATAAACATGAGCTTTGTCATAATAACAATGAGTTCGTTGTGTATTTTTCCACTGTGGAAGAGTCAAATTGGCACAGTCTGGACAATTACTTTAAGGCATTGCCAAAATCGCTTACATAAATCTATTTTTGTAGACTCAATATTATAAACAGGCACTCTTTCCACTGTATTTTAGCCAGGATACAATCTTAACAATGTACACTGTATCTGTTACCATACTGTAAATACTAAACATCCTGTTAACATCTTATCTTTGTGTCCAGGTGAAGCTCTGCCCTCCCTCCAACAATGAAACTTACCAGGACCGACTGCTACGCCTAGAGGGAGACAAGGAGTCCCTGGTGTTACAGGTGAGACCTGCTCCAAACATGCACCATTACAGAAAGTTTGATTAGAATGACTGTTCATTTGTATAGTGAGCAGCAACTATACGCCATTAGAAGCCATAATGGTATAGACATTAACACATTTTCAAACATCAGTTGGTTACTTAAAGGGCCTACTGTATATTATGTTTTCTGACCTATGTTATAATGTTGTTTCCTCATCAAAAACATACCTGGAATTGTGTTTTGTTTCAGTCACACATGTTTAATTCACAATAAACACTTTAGTTCTTCTCTCAAACAAAAAACACTTGATTCTTTCTTATGATGCCATGTGGTAATACAGGTTCCACTTTGTTTTTAAACTCCATACACCTACACTAGAATCATTTAGATGATTTCAACCCTGAAGTTACCAAACTCTACTGACTAAATGTAAAAGGTCGCTGTTAACCTGAAAACTACCATTACATGACATCACAAGGTGGAACAGACAATTTTGAGCTTTGGAGATGTAGACAGACAAATTTATTTTATTTATTTATTTTGCACATATGTAACATAACAATAATAAAAAAAAAAAAAAAAACACTAGATGAAAAACTCAAAAGGGCTTATATTAAAGCCTCCACCTTATGAATACATTAACAATTGATCATTATTGCTGTGCATAAAAAAACAAAAAACAAATTACATTTACACACCTTGGATTAAATTCATTTGATTCAAACATGGATTAAAATACAATGAAACATCTACAATTGAATGATTATCACACATTATCATGAAATATCAAACATTTCCTCACACTCTTTTTAAACAACGCTTCTGATATGCCATTACTATCCAGATGTGAAAACTAACTAATAAACCAGGATTACTCAAACATGTGTGAATGAAACAAAATACACTCTTGTTTCTGAAGAGATAACAACATTCTAAGACAGATGTGTAAGCAGATACAACAGTGTAGAAGGTCACATCCTATCAACGTGTTTGCTGCTTTACGCTCTTTATTAAAACACAAATAAAACTGTATCAAAGCATAATACCTTCAGGCTAGGATTTTATTAACATATTTAAAACTATGTAGTGAACGAGCCAGGGATTTATCTGAAGCAATAGAAAAACATCTTTAATCGTGACTGCTGTATTTTGAGTTGATCCATAACAAACGTGTTGGGGCACATAGGACTGTCTGAGCAGGTGTTTACAGTAACAACCATGTGCTGCTGAAGCCTCAGATTATACAGCTCATAAGACACAAGGCATCAAGATCTGTCTGCATTCCTACAAAATGCACCTTTGCTTTTAATTAACATTTTTCTTCAGAAGATATATAGTGAAACGCAGTACTTATACTTGACGATGCAGAGAAAGTGACTATTGGCTGACTAGTAATTATTGGAGTATTGAGTGAATACCCAGAAACTAATTAGACTGACAGGATGCAGGAAATCTAAATATCTGTGATTTTTCTTGTTAGTGAGACAACTTTTTTTTTTTTTTAAGTCCAGACTTTGCAAGATGGAGTGAGAGAGAGGGCTGTAATTAATTAAAAGCAATTAAAGGGCCCATAGTATGGTATTTTTAATGTTTTTTCCTCATCACTCACATAACAAGTAATAAGTAGCTCTTAAACTGAAAACTGCTGCTTCCTGACAACACAAGGTGGGATAGAGCATTTTGAGCTTTTGAGATTTACAGACTAATCATGCACTATTACGCAAATTAAACAAAACACAACTCCATGTATGTTTTTGAGGAGGTAACAACATTTTAACATGACTTACAACTCACAAGAGTCAATTTTAGGTAATATTAATAACTGTGTTGCTCAATGAATGAAGCATTTCACCTCTGAATTCAGTTTTCACTTGTCAGTATATCTTTAATATTGAGGAAAACATTAATGCTTAGTCAATATTATCAACCACTTGTAATGTGTAGATTGGATTCAGTTTAGTTTTTCATGTTTAATAAAACTAAAGTATATTTCACTATTGTGTTAGATGAATTATTGTTATCACCACTTTATCACCACTTTGACGCATGCCACATACCTATTTATCTCTTAAGTCTAACTTCTGTACTGTTCCACATTCCTTCTCTCTGGTCTTCTGTGATTGGCTCTTACCTAAAGGGGCTGGGGCTTATTTTTGTAGACTCTGAATCTGATTGGCTCACAGCAGGTTCCCCTTTGAGTGTTTGCGCTTTTCCTTCACTTTCTTTTCTTTATGAGTGTCCTTCAGGTGAATCATTGTAAATTAGTGTGTAGACCATGTGGACATCCACCTCCTTTTCTGTTTTTCATAACATGTGCTGAGTTCTGTGCAGGTAAGACAAAGGGCAATTTTATATTTGAACGTAGCTTTTTTGTAATCATTATTTGTGTAACAAATAACATTACATTTTGTTGTGGATTACTTTCTTGTTTAATATTGTATCATATTTTTATTGTGTTAATTAAAAAAAAAAAACAACAACTTGGGAATATTTTAAAATACTAATCTTTTGACTCCAAATCATGTTTTGGTAAATGCTGTCAGTTGTGTGTAACACGTTAGGACTTTAAAGGATTCTGAAAATAGTTGTGCTTTAGCTGGTATTTCATTGTTTTTATTGTAATTAATTAACATATGCGTGTGTTTAAATAATGTTCTTTAAACTTTGCCTTTTATCCAACGATCTTTTCATTTGCTTGTGAATTGCATAATTTTATGTGAAATACAGACTTTCTATGATGACTTCCCTCTATACATTATTTTTACAGACTTATGCTGTATTTATTAGCTGTGGTACAGAGCTATTAGTGTAGGTGCTGATTGTAGTCTGTTAATGGTGCTGAAGTGAGCAGTCAGCTGTGTCTGGAGCCCTGTGGGTGTGGAGATGTAGTATTGTCACTGTCTGCACATTCCTGACTCTGTGGTTCTGTAGAGTCTGAGCTAAACCAGGAGCTCTTCTATCAGTGCAGCATGAGGATGACCAACCACATTAGATTGCAAATTACTATGACTATTATATCAACCTCTCTTATATTGGTCAAAGTTCAGTATGTAACTTTTCTGGTGCGGGTGGGCCTGTTAAAGCATAATGTTTAGATTTTTTTTCGATAAATATTGCAATAAATGATCATATTGAAACTGCTTTATGCCACTGGTATAATTAAAATAAAGAATAAGAAGCAGGATAATCCCAGTAAACATTTTTTAAGTAGTTTACTGACAGTATCATTAAAAAAACATGAGTTGCAACAAATGGATAACAGAATAAGCTCAAATCTTAGCGTATTATTACAAAAATAACAAAAATCTCCCCACTTTTGCAAAGAAAATGTACACATGATATATACTGAGGTCCAAAATAAATTGTATATTGCTTAAGTTGATATAGTAATTAATGACAGGCTGACCCTCCAGACAGGTCACCCTGCTCAGTTAGAATGTATGTTTTAAGTTATTTTAATAGCAGCAAAAACATTATCTATTCTATATCTATCTATTTGAATAGAGATATTACTGTAAGATTCAGGGCAAAGCAATAACATCTCCATGGAAATAATCAGGTGGTGGACGGTCCTTCAGAAAGATAACACCTTTAGTATTTCATTCTTATTTCATCGTCGTATTGTTGACAGTATATTAATTTTAATGGGCATAGGTAACAAACGAATCACCAATCCACAAATACACCTTAAACTGTCAATATAATACTTTTTTCCCTCCTATTATGCATGAATAGAAAGAAATACATAAATTATACGACAATTTCAAGTTAGTAGTCCTTCATGTTGTACTTCATCATACTAATCACCCTTGTTTTTATTGACTGAATGTTTGTTTTACAGGTGAGTGTTCTGACAGACCAGGTGGAGGCTCAGGGCGACAAGATTCGAGATTTGGAGAGTTCTCTGAAGGAGCACAGACAGAAGCTCATGTCCACTGAAGAGATGCTACAACAGGTAACAAAATACCTTCATGTAGCTTTAAAGGTGCATTGTGTAACTTTTCTGGTGGAAGGTCTGTCAAATACTTGGTAATGTTAATGTTTAACAGTCAGAATGTCTGTTTTTCTACGTATTTTTGAGTTATAAAATGTCTGTAATTGTAAGGTAGAGCTGTTTAATGTCATACTGTGGAGCATTCTAGGCACAGCAATGACATATCCATAGAGACAAGCAGGTGACAGCTCCACAACCAAAAAGTTACATAGTGCACCTTTAAGATTTGTATTTGGTCTACCTTTTCCAGCTGAGGGCAGGAAAGTAGGGAGTGGCTCATTGTTGGGATTTTTCAGATTAACTCCGGTTGCTTTGATAACAACAGAACAAATCTATTTACAGTCCACAGCTCAGATCTCATGTTTAATGCTAACACAATTTCAATGGTAGCAAATACACTCAATCTAATTAACCTATTTCTGATACCAGTACTAACACACAAGTTGTATTACAAAAACATAGACTTAGATTTAAACGTGCAGAACCTCAAAATTATTATTATGTTTTTTATTTGTCTATACCCAGAGCACATGTGCAATTCTATTTCCCAGAATATGACAAAGATTTTCTTAGTTCATACTAGTTAAGATTTAATTCACATAGTTTCATTGTAATTCAATTCACATTGTTGGAGTGAATCGCATTTCCTGTTGTCTGAGTTGTGTGAGTGTTATAAGAGGCCATGGACTGGTCATAAGGCAAATAGTTTTGTTAAATTGAATAAAATCTGAATTAAAATGGCAGAAATGCCTAAAATAAATCATGCACAATTTCCAAAAACATATGAAAATTGCACTACATAACTGTGTATTGCATTTTGAAGCCAGCATGAAGTACATCTCCATTGCTCTGTACTTTCTAAACCTTCCACATATTGTTACATAAATTAAATCAAATTACTCTAAATGTCTACAAACTATTATTTTAGTATTATATTTGTATTAACCTCACAGACTATAAATTTGGACGTACAAGATACAAATAAGAGTATGTGTCTTTTAGTACTCACGCTTCCTGTTATAGTTACTGAAACAATAGTAAAATAAAGTTTAAAGAGCCTGTGCAGCTGTAAATAGCCTCATAACTACAGAGAACAGAGTGAGTGTGTTCAGATGTCTCCAATTGTTGTTGACGTCAGCTCTGAGGCAGTCTCGTTTGGGACCAGTAAACTCAGGCTCAGAATCAGTCCTCTGTTAGGACAGCTCAACAGGCCCTTTGTCCTGCTCCTGTCAAGCACTGGGCATAAAAGGAAGACCTACCAAAATAAAACAGCTCTGTGACTCAGCTTCAAAGATGCATCGGAATCCACTATATTGGAATATTTGTTATATCATAGTATGTTATAGTTATCTAAAATACACTTATTCACGCTTACGGTAAGTTGAGATTCCAGTATAATACAGTCCCATCATATTATACCATGTAGTTTTTCTTGTTTTTTTCTTTCTTTTTCCATAATTTGTAAATTGAAAATGACTTCTGGGTGTGAGCCAAAACATCTTGATTGCAATTTTTCTTGATTGCATTTATAAAGGGCCCATATTGCACTATTTTCTGATCTATGTTATGTTATAACATTTCCTCATCAAAAACATACTCAGAGTTGTGTTCTGTTTCATTCACACACATTAACATACAAATCCTGCAGGTTTAGGCTGATTTCTTCTCTCTTCCACCTTGTGATGTCATGTGGTAATACAGGAAATGCTCCATTAGCATTTGCATAATTTTGCCCTGGAAATCATTTTCAGCTTTGCATATGCAGATGGACTAATAATGCAGGATGTCTCAAACAATAAATAAAACAAACAATAAATCACATTTTTTGCATAATACAGGATCTTTAACTAAACTATGAGATGTAATGTTTCCCTCTAACCTGTTAAAATGTTAAAACATGGCTGAGGTGAGGTCTTCAGGAGTGGTGGTTAAACAGTGTTGTGATTAGGCTGTTTGACTGTAAACAGATGAAGGAGTGTGCGCACAGTGATAACGTGAGCTTTTGTTCTGCTCCAGTGTGAGGGTAATGGTTTGTCCAGTGACCTCTTGACTCTTTTCCTAAACACATCAGAACAAGTGACACCAGCAGAAGGAACATGTGGGCATACTCCTTACTAAACTGTTTAACTGAAAGGAAAAAGCTGGGTTATCTGGCTGAGTAACTGAACATTGTGTGGACGGTTTTGGGGGAAGTGGCTGTTGAAAGCTGATAATTCAATAAGGTTACTTCCATATATGCACTGTAGGACATGTTAGCACTCAAAACAACAGATTTAGGGCAATGATTTTGGATTGTTTTGTTGCCAATTCAAGCCATTCCTTGTAGTTATTTACTTACTTGCTTACTTGTATACTATACAGTTACATTTTTTCTCTTAAATCAAAAACAAACTGCGCTTGAATTAACAGATTAAAAATGCTATAGTTTATTTGAAGTCTTAAGACACATTTGAACAAGGCACAGTTCATACATCAACAAACTGGTGGCCAGGGGCTTGTGGTCAGACAGAGTCCGTTGAGACTACAAAGCAGAGATTTTATAGTACAGAATCTCGTTGATCAGCTGTGGTGCAAAAGTGTGACTTTTTGCCTTGAAGTCACTCCTTTGGGGTGTCCCATTGGCCGCTGCTGCTCAGTGCACACTCCGGATAAATGGCCCAGAGAGATGTGTCTCTGGAGCCACTCTGAGCTGTCAAAACTGGACAGGTTTAGACAGAGAGAGATAGAACTGAATACAGACAGAGAGAGACACACACAGAAGTGAAGAGATTAACACAGAGAGAGGGGGCTCATTAGAGGACTTTACTGTCTGAGCACTGACAGCATTTGTTTACCATGTGATGTGTCCATTTGAGGACTACAGTCTCTGCTCTCTGGAGGAAGAGTGGTAAGTCCAGGAGTTATGTATGTGCACATGTATAAAGAGGGTTTAACATAAAAACATGAAGTTGACGCCTTTTGTTACAATGCTTGAGCTGAGACTGCTGCTTTTTGAAATCACAATTTAACTGCAGAAATAAAATACATAGTTGAAGTATTTGGCATGAGTAAGTATAAGATAGAACTTTTGCATGAGATTATCTGTACGTCTAAATTAAATCTTCCACTTCGTTCACTGGGGTTTCCCCCTCTGGTGTTTATGGTCTTCTAACACGAAGGTACCACAGCATCAAAGGGCATGTTTTTTATTTCCATATGCTTATTAAATCAGATTTTTGGGTATTTTTAACAACATTTCTCATTGAAAATTGAAGCTACATTTGGCTTAAAACTATGGCTCAACAGAACATCTTATTGTTGTAGCAGAAAGTTTTGTAATATTAATAATTAGTACATGCTAGTAAAGCATGTGTATTCACTAAAATAAGTTTAAAGTTTAAAGAGGAAGATACACCAGAGTCTGTCTGCATAAGGAACTGAAACAGAACGGTCATGTCCTGAGCATGTTGCTAATAAACAAGTTTAGACTCTCTTTATTCTTGTTGTGTCCCATTCCAAAGAAGCCCACTGATGTATTAATAGTGTTCAAGTGCAGTGTGTGTGAGTGTGTATTTTTAGCCTGGAGCCCTGGCCCCTGCTCGGCCCCTGTTTGTGTGGGACTGTCCTGAGTAGAGCTGCATGCTGAGCGCGCACTCTGCTCTGTGTTTTGGAGGAAGAGGAGGGAGCTGGCCATGACCTAACTCTGCTGTCTGTATGTGGGTTACCAGGAGCTCATGAGCAGGACTTCACTGGAGACGCAAAAGTTGGACCTGATGGATGAAGTGTCATACCTCAAACTGAAGCTTGTCAGTATGGACGAGACCACTGTCAACGGGACCACATCACCAACACTGGAGACTGGGGACGCCAACGCCAAGAACAACAAGGCTGAGGTATGAGAGATTGATTTTAAAAAGACTAACTTTAATACTTGAATAGTTTACACTCCAAACAATATTATTATTCAACTGGATCTAGTTCTTTTTGCTTTTCTTTTCTTAAAACATTTTGGTTCTTAAATAAGTCCAGTTGACCTATTAATATTGTTTTAATCATTGTCATACCTGGATGAGAAAAAAATGAACACGCATGGAGTTTAATAGTTAACATTTGTTCATAGTAGTTAACAGGTTTTGTACAGTATTTCTGTTTTCTTGGGTTTTTTCAGTGACAGTTGAAGGTAACATATTGATACAGTAGCTGATTGCATTGAAACAAGTTCCACTGTCTGCCAGCAGAGTCAAGTCTTACAATTTGATTTATTAATCTGTTTACAGAGATTTGAATGAGATGAAAACATAGTAAATAATGGAAAATCTACCAGCCAGGTTCACAAAATTACACATACTACAGCTTACCATTTCTACACCCCTGAAGACGACAAACTCTGTGGTTTGTGTGAGTTGGGAGAAGTGGAAATTGAAACTCATTTTTTGTTGTATTGTCCTTTTTATGATATGGCTTATTGGCCCATGAAAGGGCTGGGCAAGACACAATAATAAAATTGATTGATTCATTCATTCATATACAGAGTTCAGTACAAATATAATGTTTTATACTCGTAGATCTTAATTGATTTCAAAAACCTTGACATATGCTGACATAATATTTAATGGCTTTATTGGCGTCTGTTCACAGTGAATAAATAAAAGCTGGTCAAAGCAGTAGGTACAGGAGTAAGTTTGTGAAGTTTCAGAGTGTTTTGACTGGCTCTCGTAGGCACAGTATTCCACTACTCCAGAGCCCAAACCAAAATAGACATTTCCCAGACTTGCTAAGACCCTGGGAATAGGACCAAATTCTGGGCAAATCCTGGGACCCCTACCACTGTGGACTTTTCTGGATTAACTGCTTATCTGATCTAGTTCAAGTCTTATCTCTAGGTTTTTCAGTTGGTTTTCTTTAACAACAACGACTGTTTTTACCACATACTTCACTAATTATTTTGACAGATGGGTTGTATATAAGTGTATGGGGTGTGTAATGAAATTTCTTAATTACCTGAAGAATGTGATTGGAGGAATGCATGTGAAAGGGTGTGAAGTGGGCCTCTTGTACCTCTACACACTTGAACTGCTCATTGTCAGCTGCTGGATGTAACACTGACAGCTTCTTCTATGTCTACACAGTTTGCAGTATTTATAGATATTGGGTCAAACGTAAAAAATCCAATGTCAATGTCAACATAACTAATTAACTACACAGTAAACAAAAGAGCAAGTCTTTTAAAGGCTACGTCAGAACTGGAGCTCAACAGTGATCGCTCACCCCCCATTTCTACATTTCTCATTCATTTTTCCCATGGACTTTCCAAAAAATCATCTATGTGGTGACTAATGACCACAAGACCTCTAATTTTATTTAAAAGCTGCCTCTGAAACTTTATAAACTACAAAGTTATTAAACTATTTTGCTGAATCTTGCATTTTTAAACATGCTTTTTGGACTTAAAACAACCATGTTATGGATGTTAGTTACCAAGCTGGTTAGCCTCGGTTAGCCTGTGATGTCTTTGAACTCTTAACATTTGAAATTGTCTAAAAGTCTGTGGGGAAAATGAATGGAAAATTTACTTCCGGATCCAGAGTGGGCGGTCACTGTTGAACTCCATGTATGTGTCACTATAATGTCAGAGTACATTGTGAACTCAAGTAGTATTTTAAAATCTCCATACTCCAGTTACTAAGAGGAAGTTGCTCTATATAATCCCAATCCCAATAGGGTGAAAAGCACTGATACACAAATAAAACTACTATAAAAACTAGATACACATTTGAACAAGCACTGATACTAAAGAAATAACTTAAACAGGGCATAGTTTGTCCATTGCTCGATTGTTGTGTTATTACTGGGGTATTGAAATTGAATATGAAACCATTTCCTTAGTGTCAACATTTCTGCTTTGTGACAACACTTATATCATGTAAACAAAATGGTGTTTAAACGTTGTATTATAAATTATTCAGGTTTTCATTTATTTCGTCCCCTTGTGTAGAAATTTGGCTCGGAGCAGGGGTCGTAGCATTTAAATAACATACTGACATGACATAAAAAAACAAAAGGAAAAACATGTTGAACTGGACAATATATAATCACTCAGTCTCCGAACATCAGCACAGTTAGACCATGTTGTTAATAAATAAATAAATAAATTAGTCTTTATTCTTTTGTAATTCATTTTAGTGGTATATATTCTGCAACATATTGTCAATTGAGCAGTCTGTCCTCTACTGCTCCGTAGACAGAGTTTTTAATGACGTTGAGCTGCCACCACCCCAGAGCTGTTGCTGTGTGTGGGTTGGTCCTGAGCCTCTTTCACCCGGATCGTCCTGATACAAAACACTGATAAAAGTGTTGGACTCAGTGAGATTAGGATGTGAGGACCCATATGAAAGAGGAGATAAGGATCCAAGGAGCAGGCAGGAGCAGGCAGGAGCAGGACAGAGAAGATGGAGGTGGACAAGATGAGGCACAATGACCGGCTGATAACAGTGATATATGACAGGAACTGGGGTGGGAAAAGTGGTTTTGTGTCCAGGAATAAGTTTGTTAATAACAAAGAGAATGCAACAGCAGGTATCCTGTGCTATTTAGCTCAAATATTGGCTCTTGAAATGGTGCTATTGAGTGAGAGTGGAATTTATTGCGAATTATGGTGAGTTTGTTCTGGCAATTGGTGCACATTTGTATTAGAGCTTGAACGATTTACTTTTTTTTTCATATCTGATGAATGCCGTTAAGAGTTGTTTAGAATCCAGAGGAACTGATAGCCAGTGACCTCTGCTGATACATTTTGACCAATTTTGGTTATTTTCCCCAAATTGTCTAATTAGTAGGTATGTAACGATATCCGAATCTCACAGAATGATATTATCACAATGTGTATCTCACGGTACGATATTTATTGCGATATTTTGAAGAGGCTAATATAATTGTAGAAGGGACACTTTTTTGCTTTTAAAATACCATGACAAGATTTTGGTGTGAATTATTTCTGTCAAAATCCCTAGAATTCAAGTAAAAAACATATCTCCTCATGTTGTTTGCACTGAAATGAATCCTGGGATATGTAGTTTCCGATGTTCATAAGATGTTGCTACTATAAAACCATGCATTTAAGCAAAGGAACTTGTAATTCGATATATTGTGACAATCCACAATATTACTGTGAGACTTCTGACGATACGATCACAATATTTGGGTTATTGTTACATCCCTACTAAATAGAACTCATCCACAACCTTATTTTGCTCCCAACTGTGTACAGAGCAGTGTAGTCATATTGCAGTACTCTCTTTGGACTAAAGTGTACACATAAAGCTTTATGCATTTATATTTTTCTAAAATATTTAGGCTTCAAGTGGAGCTTTAAGGCTGATAGGATCTCTTATACATATACAAAACAAGATTAAAGTACATTGCTGATAGAATAAAATGCATAATCTGATCATTGGTATTGACAATTACACAAAAAACAATGTGTATTTGTCCATCAATCAATTTTGAAGGTTGAAACAACTAGAAAACATTTATGAGTCAATGTCAGTGAGTATCAGTAAGTGCAGGATAACTCAGTACTATCAGGTCTGGCCCTCCTGGTTAATACATAAGCCATAGACCAGCACAGGCCTGACATGGTTAGAGTATTGTAGAGTGACAGTGCTCTCGTCTTAGTGGAGAACAGCTGCTCGGCTCCGGTGGGCTGGAGGCAGGAATGACAAAAATCCACTCGGAGCATTCTTCTGTAGCGGCCACTTTCACCTCTAGAAGACACGCCCCTCACTCAAGCGTCTGTCACTGTCTACTTTTCAGGAACTGTCCCACCCCAATGGACAACTTTCCTAACTTTGTCTATAACATCAGAACATCATATAACTTGTTTAAAGGGCCCACTGATTGTTGTTTATTTGTTTTATTGTTGTTTCCTCATCATAAACCTACCTGGAGTTGTGTTTCATTCACACATGCTGGACCCACAAACCCTGCATATTTAGGCTGCCTTCTCTCAAATAGAAAACACTATGTTCTACCTTGTGATATCATGTGATGCACCATTGTGTTTTAAAATCAATACACATTCAGTAGAATGATTTGGATCATTTCTGTCCAGGAATCTCTATTGAACTTTGGAGATGTAGACAAGATAATAAAGGGTTACTTAAACATGTATGAATGAAACAAAACACAACTCTGGGTGAGGTGTGTTTTAGAGGATTTAACAACATTATAACTTGACTTTAAGATCACAAGAGTCAGTTTTGTGTAATATAGAATCTTTAAGAATCCACTGAACTAAACTTTTCACACAGTGCAAATAATGTTAATAAGATGCATTACCTATACATACCTATAAATGTGTGGGTTGAAGTTCAAGTATAGTACAGTAGTTAAGTGAATGGATTGTCAAATTAACTGCAAGCATGCAGAAATATAACTTTGAAATATAGTTTGACAGATTACACAACCAGTTTCTTTTTTCAGATTTTCTTGCATTTCTTTGCAGTCTTTTTACAATATAGACAATTGCAAAAAAAACAACAACAACTGGCCACCTGTTTATCTTTAAGATGATACCTCTATATGCAGAATTAAAATATGTTGATTTAAACATGGATTAAACTACTGACAATGATCATTTTTGTTATATAATATAAGTTTTATTTTGGTCACATAGAAAATATAAGAAAATATGAAAGTAAAGCTATGAATTGCACTAAATGGGCACTATTTATGCTTTAAGTTTGTCCCACACTTTTGGCTAAGTCTTTATTTTCTGTAGACATTCAGCAGATAGAGCTTGCTGTTGCATACCATCTTTTCATAGCAACCCAGCTGAGAGGCGACGACCCTTCATACCTCTTACAATACAAAAACAATCCAAGTCACGCCATGCTAAATCAACCACCCCTGCAGCACTAAGCCAAACAGAGGCCCATGGAACAAGTACATAAAATACATGTGAAGTGTCTTGCATCAGTCCTTCATTCCTCCACTTCCGCCTGGGGCTCATTTCAGGGTCTCAGTGCCATTTTTGGCTGTAATACAAGTGTGTTATAATGACCGTGGTCTTGAGGGCGGGGCCAGAACATGCCAGCTGTGCCAGAGAGCTGCATGTACTGACAGATGGACTGCATCACGGGTCTAGGCTTTGACCAGTGTTTTCTTTACTTAATGCATAACCTTTCTTTTTGTTGTTATTTAGCTTTGTAAATAATAATTGTAGTTGCCAGATACTTCCAATCCTGTTAGATAAAATAGCTACTTCAATGATAAATACGGAATGAAAACTGTCAACTCAGACCTTTATTCATTCATTTATTCATTAACTTTAAAGGACCCTTACTGTGCTATTTTCTGATCCATGTTATAATGACATTTCCTCATCAAAAACATACCTGGGGTTGTGTTTTATTTCATTCACACATCTTTAACACACAAACTCTGCATATTTAAGCTGAGTTTTTCCTTCAATCAGAAAACAGAAAACACTTCCACCTTCTGATGTTATGTGCTAATGCAGGAAGTGCTTCACTGTGTATTTTAACTTCAATAATTTCAATAATTTCAGACGTAAATTTGCTAATCTTTACTGAACTAAAAGTAAAAGGTGGCTGTTAACAGAGCATTTTGATGTTAGGAGATGTAGTCATTAATACTAAGGAGTCTCTCATTCACATGTGTGAATGAAACAAAACACAACTCCAGGTATGTTATTGAGGGGGTAACAACATTGTAACATGGCTAAAAGCTCACAAGAGACAATTTTGCATAATGTAGAACCTTTAAGTGTAAGCTGACCTGTACTCAAACATTATTTTAGTATTTGTCAACAGTTACAAATGACAATATAATGTAAGAAAAGCAAGAGTGACTGCAGTACATGAAACATTACTATCCTTATTATTTTATTTATTTATTATTTGGTGTAATGTAAAGAGCTGTACCTTTCTACAGGTCAACATTTGTCAAGTGTATTATAAAATTCCTGAACTATCACTCCCCCATTGACTCTCTCTATCATACCCCTGTCGCTGTTCCCTGGTCCCGTGCAGTGTGTGGTGAACCTGATCAGTGAGCTACAGGAGCAGATGTGCAGGTTTCAGGAGGAGATCAGCTGTAAGATCCAGGAGAGGCGCGCCCTGGAGGAGCAAGAGGCCGGACAGTGCCCTCCTCACAGGGGTCACAGCCTGTCCTTCTCCGAGCCCCGGACCTCTCAGCAGCACAGCGGAGCACACGGCGGCGGCGTTCACGTAGGGAGACTCCACGGATCTCCTCCTCCTCCCCCTCTCCCCCCACCTCCCCCCCTCTAACAGTCCACTCCAGCCGGTACCGGACCACCACCAATCACACTAACCGCTTTCTGTACTCATCTACAGTCTGTCTTTGTGCAGGGTGGGGGCAGCTGATGGACCCTCTTCAAGCGCTATTAGTTTGAATGGGTTTTCCAAATCAACTTCTATATGTTTGTCTACATTAATCAGAAGTACAGTATTATGATTTGAAATGTATGTGTCATGAAAAAACTAGATGTCTATTCATGTGTGCTTGTAACCAGAAGGAATAGGCAACCAAATAAATTAAAAGTGCATCGTGTAACTTTTCTGGTGAAGGATCTGTCACATGCTTTTTTTATGGACATTTGATGGTATTTATGGTTATTGCTTTGTCTGGAATGTTTCACAGTATAGCATTAAACTTTTCTATCATCATGGAGACCTAACCAGACCAAGTTACAGGTCAGATTTGTGGAGAGGCGACCCCACTCACAGTCAGACTGTGTTTTTCTTGATGTTTTTTAGCATCTGTAATTGAATAAATGTAAGGTAGAGCTGTTTAATGTCATAATCTGGCACATTCCAGGCAGAGCAATGACGTATCCATAGAAACAAGCAGGTTGATGGACCCAAACCAAAAAGTTACACAGTGCACGTTTAAATTTTCAGTGTTTCAGAAAAAGACCAGTTGTCTTTCTAACTGAAATTTCTAAGGGCCGAACACTTGCAGGTAAAAACAACAAAATATTTTATTGGAAGTGCCTTTCGTTTAGATGGTGACGTGTTTTTGGGGCTTAAAAACTCAAAAATCTGAAACCACCCTCCAGAGTGGAAAGTTGATTACGCTCTGCTGTAGCATTTCCATCTACACAGCCCAAGACGCAAAACTCTCGTCATATCTGCTGTACGCGTTTACGTCATATACATCACCACCTGGCCGCCTGGCATGCATACCCAATCGAATCCCACACACTTGTGCGTCACCGTATGCGTTTCCTCCTGAAAACGCTTGTCTAAACGAGGAATAAAAAGTGAAGAAACGACGCCACTTCTGAGTCTTTTGTTCAGACCGTCATCATATAAACGTAGCCTATATTTACGATAATACCAGTCAATGCCATGGCCTGTAATAGAACATTGTACACATTGTAATAGACTGTACACATTGTAGACATTGTAACAGAATATCTTATCCAGGGACACATGCAGAAGCAATTAACTGACCATCTGTTTCAAGTTAATTCTCTTTACACAGCTTTCAATAGTGTACTTAAACACTCAGCACTTTCTGTTGTGAAGTATTTGGAAAACCTGTCAAACCCTGGTCAACTCTTTTAAATGGTTGTTGATTTGAAGTTGCATGTCTGTGGGTCTTCCCTGTACTAACAATGTTTCTATACTCAGGTGGATGGGAGGACTGTACTATTGAACCAAAGTGTGTAATAATAACCCAATGGGAGTGGAGGTGTTGGTGGATGGCTTGCAGATGTTGTATCCAGGTTGTTGATAACTGCACGCTGTGGTGTTGAGGCCCCTCCCCTCTCTGCATCGGCATGATTCCTGGATTCCCGCTGATTTACAACCGAATCCAAATCAGTTTCTGATTTTACTCACCCATGCCAAGAGCAGCATGCACATTTAATGCTCTGCTCACACGGATTTGAAGATAATTACAGTCTTTTGTGTGTGTTTTTATGTGTTCACGCAGGATTTGCTTCAGGAAGTTAAAAAGCTGAAGAGCAGAGTGGACGAGCTGGAGGCAGAGAAGAGTCAGTATGAGAGGAAACTCAGGGTCACCAAGGTAACGTCAACCAACTCACTGTTTGTCGAAAAATAATAAAAATAAAAAAGTAGTATTAGTACATAGTATATGGACTAATATGTCTTCTATTCCCATTGTAAGTCACTAGTCTGTTTACTGCAAAAAATTGAAAAAATACCAGTAAAATAAGTAAAATATCGGCCAAATCTTCAATATCAAGGAAAACACTCTTATACCACAGTTATCGTATTAACACCTATATATTGACCATAATAAAAGAGCTACAAATGTTTCTGTTATTTTAATGGATGAGAGTCAATTTCATTTACAGTACACAGTTTTTTAGTCTATGATGACAATATATATTTAAAATTCCAGGCAGCCTCATTCGATTTGCCACACCAATTGTGTTTTCTAACCTATATCTTTCAGTTTAACCTCCAGTGGTGATTGCCTTTTCCCTGTGCTAACACTTTTTACTGATGCGCTGTTTTACTTTATGGCTTCCTCTTTGGTTACCTAAATGCTTCCCCTCTTCTCCCCTCTCTCTGTCTCTCTCCCCGTCTCACCTTCTAACCACTGGTTTGGGGCACTTCCTGTGTATGTAGCTGTCCATCTCCTCCTCTCTGCATGTGTGTTACCAGTCTCTCATGAGCCAGCTGTCAGGCCTAAAGCTCACGGTGGAGCACACTCAGCTGGAGAGGCAGCACTGGGAGGAGCGCTGGAGGAGTGCTCAGGTGCACCTTTAATGTCCCCAAACCCACTTCATTTTTCTCCATTATACGTATTACATTGTATTTTTCATACCTTCAGTACATTGTGGTTGTGTCTTGATTAAAGGTACACTGTGTAACTTTTTGGTTAGGAGTCTGTCACCTGCTTGTTTCTATGGATATGTCATATTTCACCTTACATTTATTCAATTACAAGCGGTTTTACTGCTCAAAAAAACTGAACAGTTATTCAAAATTAAAAAAAACAAAAAAACAACTATTTTCTTCATTATTTGCCTCCAAAACTAAAAACAAAAAAGGGATAATGATACGTTTTTCAGTTTTCATTTTTGTGTTTAAATGAATAATGGAAAAAACAGATAATGGCCCCAGACTGAACCAGGACTGAACCAGGAATAAAACAGGACTACACCAGGATTAAACCAGGACAGTCGGGAGTGTCAGGACTGTCGGGTACTCAGGACTGAGACCAGGACCAGACTGGGACTGAGACTGGGACCAGACCGGAACCAGACCAGGACCATGACCGAGACTGGGACCAGACCGGGACCAGACTAGGACTGGGATGTTTTTTCTATTATTCATTTAGGCACAAAATCTAAAACTGAAACAACAAATCATTATCCGTTTTTTGTTTTTTTTATCATTTTGGTTTGAAAAATTGTTTTTTTCATTTTCTTATTTATGGTTTTATTTTGAAAAACAAATGAACACGTTTTTTTAATTCCGTACTGTAAAACATTCCAGACAAAGAAATAACATCTCCATGGAGAAAATCGTTTGATGTGCCCTCCACCAGAAAAGTTACACAATGCACCATTTAGTATATGTTTGTGTTGTCCTAGAAGAGTGAGCGCTTCTTGTTTAGTTTGTTTAATTTTCTGAGCTTGTAGAAACATTCTGTGTGCTATTATTTTAAACTTCACACCAGCTGTTTTGTGTCCCTTTTTACCATTACAGTTATTGTAAAACACAGTTCAAGTGTCTGGTGATTTATTTTGTTGTAGAAAATGTATTACCATGTACCTATGCATTCTTTTCCTTATACTTCATTTTCTTAACATAAATCAAATGTCTTTGTATAGTCAGTTTTGTCATAGTTGGTTTGGTAGTCACTAGTTCTTGCTCGTTTTATGAGTTATTATTTAAAGCCCAAACTCTGCCCCTTTTACTGCCTTGTTGAATTTCTAATGTTGAGCAGGTGAAGGATTTGTAGAGCATATATTTCAAAAGTAAATTCTTTGTTTGGTCCTTATAGGCACCTGTCGTCTGCAACTTAAGCTCCTGCAGCTGTTTCCATTTAAGTCGTTTTATCTGCCCACAATAATAGAACAACTGAAGACAAAGTGAACGGGGCTGAGCCATTAAAGGTGCATTGTGTAACTTTTCTGGTGGAGGTTCCATCAAATGCTTTTCTCCATGGAGATGCTTTGTCTGGAAGGTTTAACAGAATGAAACCAGATCAAATACCCTTTCAGATCTGTGGAAAGGCAACCCTGCTCACAGTTCCTGTATTTTGAGCTGCAAAACCACCTGTAATTTGAGGCAGAGCTGTTTAATTCCAGGCAGAATAATGACATCTCCATAGAAACAAGCAGGTGATTGACCTCCAACCAAAAAGTTACACAGTGCACCTTTACATCCAACTGGCTCCATCACATCACATTGAATCATTTTTTAAAAAGACAACAAACTACTTTTATATTTCAAGTTCAAAATTATAATTGCCAAAATAAAAAAAGAAGCACTAAGTCAAGTTTATTAACACAAAGAAGTGCCTATGGATCTGGCTACATGTGTCTAGATTTTTTCCAAGGTATCTGGGTTCACAACAAAAAAGACCATAGAAAATGCAATAAAATAAATCTAATGAAAGAGAATGAGTTTAGAGGTTGTTTGCCTGAAGCAGTTTAATTCTGAACTCACATGGAAGCCCTTAATGACTGTTTAATAGGAACGCTGATGGTATTTAGCTCTGGTTGGTGAAGAAAGCTCTTGACTTGGTTTGGAAAATCCCTTTATTCTGTTCATACGTCCTCAGAAGACTGGGCTGGGCTGAAGTGGGCCATTCCTGAGCTCTGATGTAGTGAAATAGTGTATACTGCTCTCACATTTACAGTTGTAAACCTTTTCCATCTGCAAAAAGCACGAGACATTTCAATAGGAGGGACAGAGGTCCATGGCAGCTTCAATTTTTCCCAGTCCATAAATTGAGTGTTGACTGGGGCTTGCAGAGGAGCATAAGGATCAGATTTGCATTAGTTTACGCAAGTCAATATTTTGTCAGTAGAAATGCTAAATAAAGATGTTAAGTTCAGATTTTGTAGTATAAATGGAGGTGAAGACGTAAAAAAGTAATCACTAGTTATTTAAGGCGTTGCTCATATGTGATTGTTGCATAGTGGGTTCTTTTTCAGGCCTCAATCGTTTGCCGAATGTCTCTACCCTCTCTCTTTTCACGCTTTAGCTGTGCTGTCCAATTGAGCCAGAAAAATGCAAATAAAAGAAAAAGTATTGTAGAAGTAGAATTAAGTAAATAGACTTAAGGCTGCCACACACTACAGGAGAATTTGCTTGATTTTGGCTGTGATTTGCTTCTCTCCGGGCGTGACCCAACTTTGTGTCTTCATGTGTGAATATGAAGCTGCTGCGCTCCTTGTGTGTGGTGTCAGTGTGATTCCGACTTGCTCTTTCATATAGAGTTACAGACACAAGATGCAAGCTTACTCAAAACTATAAAACTTACTCAAGATACAAACTCATTATAGCAAAAATAATTATTACTCACCTCTCGTAAAGTTGTAAAGTTAAACTGCACATTATTCATAGAAATTGCCCTCTGCAAATGACACCAAGTCCACAAAATGTCGCTATTAATCTAAACTAGATGTGCAGTGCTCTGATCTTTTGAACACTTAAGAGTCTCAAAGTGAGTGGTTTCACTGTAGAGAGGAAATAGCTGATGTGAGGTGCGCTCACAGGGTTGTAGCCTGTGGTGCTCAGCTTTATCCTGCAGCAGTCTTTGCGATCAGAGATTTAAAATCTCATGAGATTCTGCTCGTGTCTGTGGTGTGCACTTTTTGTTGCACGTTTAAAAATTGTTTAAGACCAAAAAATCCTGTTGTGTGTAGCAGCCTTAAGACTTAACTAGACAAGAAACTGGTGTCAAATGGTGTCATAATTATATAAATATGTACAGGTTGGAGAGTTAGAAGAATATAGTGTATCCAAATATTAGTGTTTCAAATTCAGTCTGTTTTTGTGTCACATTTTGTCCCTGTGTGGCCCTCCATAATCCTTGTACTTCTTTAATGCTTCATCTTAAATCATTTCCTCTTTGTTATTCCACAGGCTGAGATCTCCGACCTGCAGCAGCTCGTAGCCTCCAAAGACGCAGAGATCGAGTGCCTACAGACCCAGCTGTTGGCCAGAGGCGGATCAGCCAATGACAGCGCAGACAGAGGTATGCTTTAGAAGGCTAATATAGGAAATGACAAGGCACCTATAGCAACAACTAACACACCTGTTTATTTTCTGTAATTCTGTGTTTCTCTGCTGCCCTCTGATGTAGAGGAGGTGTATATCAAGCAGCTCATTAACAAATGTAAGGCATGTATAGAACTTTGGAGAAATGTCACACAGAGTCATCTACTGAAACAATATTAATTAAATAAAAATGACACATCAAATAAATAAATATATGTTCAAGTTATTACAGTACCCAAAACATAATTCATTTTGCTACTAGGCAATTAATCCAAATAAAGATTCTGGTTTCAATTTGACAGTATTTTGACTTGTCTCCACAGTTACCTTTTTTCTCTCATACTGACTTAATGAACAATTTTATAACACTTTAAGATTTGTTTTATCAAATGTAAAGTGCAATATAAATAAAATGTATTATTATTATTATGTATTTATTTTTGCATGATTTTGTAACAGTGCATGTGCAGAGCCTAGCGTTTACCCACATACTAAATCATTATATTTGCTTGTTTTCCCTTGATTTGACATGTGTAATTTTGTGTTACATGTGTAAAAGGAGATAAAAAATATTATTATGATTATCCTAAATCCGATGTCATGAAATTCAGTTATCCTGCAAATATCTTGGACATTTCATAGACCATTTTATTATGCATTATTCAGCCTTTTCCAGGTGTTGCATGCTGGCCTTTGTCATTCGTTGTGCCTGTTTATCCGTGTTAACATAACTGTCCTGTTAGCATGGTTGTCCTGTCTGTCACTAGTTTCCCATCAGATCCCTGTCACCTGTTAAATGCTCTAGACACAAGGAACCAAGCAATGAAAAACAATTAATATTCTGTTTTAGACCATGAATACCAGAGACTCAAGGTCGGCATGGAGACGCTTTTAGCATCCAATGATGAGAAGGTATTTGAGTCCTTTGTTATTATCATTTCTTTTATGAAACATGTTAACATGAGCTGTAATATACATGCAATATACTGTGCTTATGTTTAGGATCGCCGAATAGAAGAACTCACACTACTTCTCGCCCAGTACAGAAAGATGAGAGAAATTATGGGGCTAACATTAGGTAAGTAAATAAAATACTATAATGTGAATTAATATTTTGAATTTAAGCTGTACGGTAAATGTAATGTTTGTAATGTCCAGGCAGCAGTGAGGAGGAGCTCAGCTGCAGTCCCAAACTCAGAGCCATCACACATAAAGCACACTCAGATATCATCAGGTCAGGGGTAAGTTTTTTCATCTGCTTGAATTTAGAAAAATGAAAAAGAGGTCAGGAGTTGTGTTGACATTCTATTTACTTATTAGCTTTGATAAACCAGTAGAGATCTTAACTAACTACTGAAATAAGCGTTTCCTGAAATACACTCGGATCAGTTCACCAGTATAGTGGTTTTAATTGCAAGATTTTAAGTTCAAGACATATTGGCAGAAGGAGAAATTCAATTTGTCACCTGGACAAAAGTTTATTTGGTCAAATAAGTTTCGCAGCTCATCCAAGCTGCTTCTTCACTTCTGGTCAGACACTGGTGGACATGTCCTTATATCTGACTGAAGGGAAGAGCTAACTACAATGAAACTACTCTGAAACTAACACCATACTTGTTTCCAGTTTTTGTTAGTTGGCTAGGCCTATTGAACTTACGCTGAGTATGGGGTCATATTAGCCTAACCATTCAGGGCCATAATGGGTGCTTTCACACTTCTGGGCTTGATCTGGTTATCCCTATTGCTTTCTTTGATTGTTTTGATTTGGGTTTGAGGATGAAGTTGTAGATTGGAGAAAGATGATGTCTCCATTTCTGTTTAAGGAAGGATTCTCTTTCTTAACAAAAATAGCCTTTTTAACTCCCCTCTCAAACCAATTATTTTCTCTGGCTAAGATCTGATCTGAACATATTCAACCAAATAAACTTTTGTCCAGTTGACAAATTGAATTTCTCCTTTTGCCATGGACTCTTCCTAGACGACTGAGGGATTTTACACACTCCAAGACATATTAATAACAAGTCATACTGATTCAAATAACAAGACAGAAAACATAACGGGACAGTTTGTGGACAAGACAAAATAAATTAAATAATAAAGTAGTGGTTTAACAGTTGAAAGTCACCTGTTTTCTACAAAGATGATGGATTTTTCCAATAACATATACACACACATTTATCTCTGCCACCCAGATGTCCTCTAGAGGATCTTCACCCCTCATGCTTTCATCATCTCCTTACCAGAGAGACCTGGAAAATAGGTACGATCAGTCAGACCCTTTTTTGTCATAATAGATCTTCCACTGTCACTTACACTGCCCTGTCTGTGCTCTTCTGCAGCTTTCAGAACTCTATGGAGGTTTCTCTGATGTCGGCAGGAGACCCAAGCTTATTCAATGGGTCATGGTAAAGTTTTAACATTATAATTTATCAATACTTTGCACCTGATCTCATTGACATTCCCTGTGGGTGTGAAGCTAACTGAAAGCAGTACTCTGTTACAAGCTCTGTTACTCCAGTTAGACTTAATCTGAGCTTTATTTTAACACAATCTGACCAGAAAGAGCAAATTTGGTTGGAAGTCGCTCACACAAAAAATTACTATTAGTCACAAATTAGCAAGCATTAGCCACCAGTTTTTCAGTCATTCTTACCTTTTTAGTTGAAAATCTAACTCCTAAACTGGATCATGGATACTCATTAATCACAGGCTCTCAGACTATCTTAAAACATTTTTGGCAGTTTTTGCTAAGATCTGCATTCTGTCACCATGGTAACTGTTGAACTTTCCGCCAATAGGAATAGATGTAGAACGCCCCCAGCCAGTGTGTTGTCAATGCAAAGTATCAGTTGTCTTGCTTTGGTCTTGTTCTGAAGTGTCTCCTCTGCCCAGGCCTCAGCGTCGCCTCCTGTCCACCAGCCTAGAAGAACTGCAAAGTGGATCCTTTAAGAAGGTTACCATCTATAGTAGCATTTCTAATATTATATACTACCATAATAATCTTTTCTTATGGTCTAACAATTAACATTATATGGTGGTGGTGTTGTTCTTTCCGAGGCGTGTGTGTCTAACCTCTAACTCTGGTCTGTGTGTCTCTGTCCGTCTGTCGCTGTAGGCCATAGAGTTCCAGCCTGTTGAAACTGAAACTGAAGTAGTTACTGAGGTACTGGAGTGCTGCTAACTGCATCACCATCACCGCTGCTCCTGCCTCGTGTTTAGCATGTCTTTGACCGTGTGTGTTTTTGCTTGTGTTGTGTTTTTACTTAAACATACCTGGAGATGTGTTTTGTTTCATTCACACATGCTTGAGTAATCCTTTATTATCAGTCGATGTTCTTTTCCACCATGTGACGCCATGGTGGTAGTGGTAAATTTCAAGTTAACAGCTGCGGGACCCGCGGGACACGGCACAAAACAGTGCGGCGTGGGACACATTTTGAAAGCTCATTGCAGGCGCAGGCGGGAACGGGACTGCACACTGCGGGAGCGGGCGGGTAGGATGATAAACTGCAGTCAGTCAAACTAAATATGAATGTAAAGTGAAATATACAAATGATAAATGTATGTCTATTATACATCATTTGTGCTGGATATTTTATTTGGTATTAATACAAACATTTTAAGCAGCCTAAACTTACAGACATGGTCTTACACACATTTTAGACAATTCCTTTCCGCTTCTCCGTGTTTGATAGCGCTTAAGAAAGCAAACGTCTCGCATCTTGCGGGACTTGTGGTCGGGAGCAGGACAAAGTATCACAGAGAAAATTACAATTCTTTGCGGCCGTAGGAGCGAGACTGAAAATTCTGTCCCATGCAGACCTCTAATTAGAAATTTCAGAGCTGAAATGATCCAAATGATTTTAGTGAAGGTGTATGGAGTATGGAGGAACAGAATGTTTTCTGTTGAAGGAAAAAACACAACCTAAATATGCTGGATTTGTCTGTTAAACATGTGTGAATGAAACACAACTCCAGGTATGTTTTTGAAAGGAAGCAACATTATGACATGACTGAGACAAAAGCTCGATATGTGCCCTTTAATGTAGACATAGATACAAACCGACTCATTGGAAGTAGTGAAGTATGAGCCTTATTTCTTATGGACTCTCTGACCACAATGTGACATCTAAAGTGCACTATTTTAAACACACATCCAGTTTGTCCACACATTAGTTTTGCTGTGTTCACGTTCACTGAAGTGGCAGGGAGAGGGCCAACCTGAGGAGCCTGTCACTGCTGCTCTGTCTCCACTGTGTCCTAGACCTTTCTGTGTCTGCCTTCTGCACACCACAAACAAGGAGATCTCTTATGTAACAGAGTACATACCATGACTCATACTTAAACAGACATAAAAACTGTCTATTGATACTTTGCAGTGCCATCATGCTTGGGGTGTCCTACATGTATCTCTAATGGAGGAATGTTCATCAATTTACCATGGCAAATACAAACAAAAAAGCTTTAAGATAGTCCAAAAACTCATTAAAAAAATACAAAATTGATTTAAATAACACATTTAATTTTTAGGAGCTGTTGGATAATGCTAGCCTGTGACTGTAATTTTATTTGAGAAGGACTTGTTTTTTGTTTTGTTTTTTGTTTGTTTGTTTGTTTTTTCAGCAATAATACAATGATTTAAATCAATGCAAACATTTCCATTTTCCTTGTATTTATTTATTTCCTTTTTAACAATATAAGTTTGTAACAAAAAAGGAAATAAGCAAACAACAGGGTAATAGTGACTTTAACGGCACAAATCGACCAGCCTTTTTGTTCGGTTTGTGTTATAGAGAAAAAGTCCCGCACACCGTCTGACTTGCAAATTGTGAGATTTATTAGGACAAACTGTGCAACATTTCGGCACTAGGCCTTCATCAGGCAAACCTCTCCTCCAACACACCCGTCTCAAGTAACTGATGTGTGAAGTTCTCATTCATTTAACTGGTCAGACTGTGTTAAAATAAAGCTCATATTAAGTCTAACTTGAGTAAAAGAGCTTCTAAAAGAGTAGTGCTTCCAGTTAGCTTCAAACCCCCAGGAAATGTTGATGACATCAGCTGCAAAGTATCAACAAAGCATCGTATAATAGTGTTCTTGTAGCATGCTTGAACAATATCAAATCGGTATCAGCAAGAAGCCTCTGGTGACAAAATGAGGCTTTTGAAGTGTTTATAATTACTGAGTACTAAACAGAAATAGGTGGTGGTGGTTACTGTATGTATTTCTCAATGAGTGCTTTTGAAATTTAGCTTGAATTTCCTGTACAAAAACACGCTCACCAGTGTGTAAGAACTGTTCTCTGTTAGGTCTTCCACTGTGCACGACATGAAAAGCTCATAGACTCCAACAATCTGCTGCCCAAAAATGATAACTGCACTAGACGTGGCTCACAGAATTACCATACTCATATTTTTTCCATAGCAAAATATAAACACAAATATTTTTCCATATTTTTGAGTTGCCCATTGTTGCACCGTACTGCATGTGAATGACTTTGAAATGTTGATGTGTACTTGAATATTCACTTTGTTTTTGTTGTGCAGAACACCCACATGGAGTTAAACAAGTACCAGACGTTACCAGGAAAACTGAGCAAAAAGAAAGCACAAAACAGGACGACAGAAGACGATGGGGAATACTTGTCTCCTGTCCAGCTATCTCCTGTCCACAACCACGATCAGAGCTACACTCCCAGTGAGTTTAACTTCAAGAATATATAACATTCCTAATGCGACTAACTAACTAACTAACTACTTTGCTTAACTGGGGCTTGCTTTGGTCATTGTCTTAACACTGCTTCACACGCTGCCTCTCTTCTGTCTCCTCTGGCCTCAGTCCGCTGCAGGAGTGCCAGTGCTCCAGTGTTAGGTACTGTATATTCACACTAGAGCTTTGTGTTGTGGTGTTTGTCATTGGACTATCAAAGTGGGCCCAACATGAGTCCCAAAGGATCTCCATCTTTTTAGGAACCATAGACTTGCTAATTATTCTATTATACAGTCCAAGACCATGACATCTTTACATATCTAATTTACCTTGGTTAGTTACACTTTGCTAGTTAGATGAATTCACTTAAATACTGTACCTCAATGCCCCATATTCAGTAGTGAGTAGAGTGGACACCTTCTTAATAGTAAAAATGCTAAAGCTGCTAAAGATGTAAACCCAGATTTCTCTTAACCAGGGCAAAGGCTAATCAGAAAAAAAGTGGGATCAGCTTATGAATTAGCTTCCATTTTAATGATAAACAAACTACAAACAAAATGCAGTGGGACCTCATACATCCACACTCCCATCCAGCAGGATAAAGTACAACCTTACATAAACCAGCTGTATGATACTGCAACTACTGTTTAAACTTTTTAAACTTCTCAACAAAGCAAAGGGTGGCTACTTTGAGGATTTCAATATAACATATAAAAACATTGTACAGTCATTTAACTTTTTTTTTGCTACATAATTTCATCTGATGTTTAAACAAATATGTACATAATAGTAAAAATAGTAATAAAAATAAAGAAAAAGCTTTGAATGAGATGGCGTGTCCAAACTTTTGACTAGTAGTGTATGTGGCATTTCACAATATAGCCTCAGAACTAATAGAACTAAAACAGGACTTTTAAATGTGACTAATCTTAACACAAGCCATGTCTTCATTTCACAATGCCTTTAGTCTCTCTCATGCATGTTTCTGCAGTCAGTGAACAGGCACTACCATATTCACTGGCTCTTCTCTGGGATAATAATGCGTGACTAATACTGCTTCTGCTCTCTTCCTCACTGCACTAACACAGGATCCCCCGGAAAACATGACCTTTATGATGTTGGTGGGTATATTAAACATCATGTAAATATTGTGCAGTGCTCATTGGCATTAAGATAAGTTCATTTCTTTAGCTTCATTGTTTAGTAAGTTATCTTGAGGCAACATAAATAGACATTTTAAAGGTCCTCTATTACACAAAATTGACTCTTTTGAGATTTAAGACATGTTATAATGCTGTTACTGTCTCAAAAATCATACCTGGAGTTGTGTTTCGGTTCATTCACACATGTCTGACTAATCCTTATTATTAGTGTGTCTATATCTTCAAAGCTCAAAATGCTCTTTTCCACCTTGTGATGTCATGAACTGATAGGTGTCTTCTGTTTGAGAGAAGAACTCAACCTAAATATGAAGGGTTTGTGTGTTAAACATGTGAATGAAACAAAACACAACTGATGAGGAAACAACATTATAACATAGATAAGAAAATAGCTTAATATTGGACCTTTAAATAGTATATAAAAGTGGAGTTTGTTTTTTTCTTGTGCCAGGACGCTCCGATAAGTTGGACGAGTGTTTGCTGTCCGACCAGTCTCCTCTATCCTCAGGAGTGGACTCAGGACAGCAGTCCCCAGTCTCCCCAGAAAACAGGAAGACCCATCGGGGCATCAGGAAATTGTGGGGGAAGTAAGTACTTGAGACGTGATTACCAAGAGTTTATTTCAATTGCGTAATATCCCAGTTGATGTTTTATGAATATGAACCTTGGGCAGCATACATAGCCATTGTACTCTCTTGTGGTATTTGCAGCTTAAGGTTAAATTTTGCAACTTTTCCACCATATGAAAATGTCAGGACAGGGCAAATTTCAAGTGCATTTGACAGGTTTCCAAGTTTTTCTAATTATCACTTTGTTTGGTGCCATAATACTTGGTAAATATTTATCACATTTCTACATCAGTGAATTGACAGTTAGTGAAGAAACTCAGTAGAAAAATACAGGTCATTAACTAACTAACTAACTAATTTAAAGCCACAAAATTCTATTAAAAATAAATGAACAGAAGATGCATATTTTATCAGTTTTAAGGAAATTAAGTAATCTAGCCTCATACGCACTTCGAATTGTAAATCAGAAATGTTCTCATTGATGTCTGGATCTGGGATACACATCAAAAACCACAAGAAGAAGCTTTTTTGCTTTTTCTGTTTTTGTCTAACCAGATTCATGTCACTCTTACGGCAGATATGATGTGACATGTGATCTCAGGTGTGAGGAGAGCCATTAAATCTACCCTGATGTATTGAACCATGTCAAAACGCTTGTCTAAACCGTCTCTTCTGTCTGTCTGTCTGCAGGATCCGACGCAGTCAGTCAGGCAGCCCCGTCCCTGTTCACGACTCAGACATGGGCGACTTCAAGAGAGGCGGGTTTAGGGCCACAGCAGGACCAAGATTAGCACGCCCCACAAATGCAAGGTACACATCCCACATATGCAGTCTTTATTTTTGTTGTTTAACCCAAATTTTGTAGGTTATTGTGACTAATATTGTGATTGTGTTGCGATACATAAGGGAGTTGAGGGGGCCGTTCTCTAAGTGGACAGTGGAGCAGGTGTGTGATTGGCTGGAGGACATTGGACTGGGTCAGTACAGCAGCTCGGCCAGACACTGGGGCTCCAATGGGCAGACTCTACTGTCAGCCAGTTCACAGGAAATTGAGAAGGTATGTAGCCAACAAAAGAAATATTAAATTCTGTCAACTGCACAAAAGTTTTTTTTGTTTTTTTTTTGGAGCCAACATTATTTCTTTAAAATAAATTGTATGATTTAACATTATCAGCCTGAATGATAGATTAGTAATTGCTATTTAAATTATAACAATATTAATTCCTAATCATTGCCCCCTCTTCTTATTTGCTTTAAAGCTGAATTACCCAACTTTCTTTCTTTCTTTCTTTCTTTGTTCCCCCCCATTAAAGTGTATTATAACAGAAGAACTTTGAGACAAAAATCAGACCACAGTACACTGTCTTTATCTAATTATAAACATTTTACAGATCACAAAGTTGTAATGAGAATTGACTGAGTGTTTTGTTGGTCCACCCTGCTTCTCTTCTCCCTCTGAAAAAGCTGTTCTAAACCTGCTCCATGCTAAGAAAATCTATGCACATGAATACTTGCAATGAGCCAAAGGGTTTGTGAGAGCTAGGAATAAGATTTCTCCTTTCATAGTTCTCCAGCTTTAAGTGAAATATAAAACTTGAGTGTGTTCCCAGCAAAGTGTAAACATGAGGTGATGAAATACTGTGCATTTATTTTCAGGAACTTAGTATAAAGAATCCACTTCACAGGAAAAAGCTGCAGTTGGCCATCAGGTCGTTCAGTGGCAAACGGCAGGAAAAGTCTTCTGATCTGGATTACATCTGGGTCACACGTAAGTACACACCTTTCATACTTAAAATACTTTACTTTACTTTTACTTTTTTACTTTACCTTTACATACTAAAAATACAAACAATTCATCTATTTAAAATCATTCAATATTTTTTCATAGGTTGGCTTGATGATATTGGTCTCCCTCAGTACAAAGACCAGTTCAATGAAGCCAGAGTAGATGGGCACATGCTGCAGTACCTCACAGTGGTACTTTACTCTTTACTTTTCTTAGTGCTTAGGGTTGTAATGTATTTTGCCTAAACTGTATTTTTTTTTTCTTAGAATGATCTTTTATTCCTGAAAGTGACTAGTCAGCTCCACCACCTCAGCATCAAGTGTGCCATTCATGTTCTGCACGTCAACAAGTTTAACCCAAACTGCCTCAAGCGTAGGCCCAGCAATGAGGTATCCAGGACACAGTGTGCCTAGATTCAATACATGCAATAAAAAGAACATTAAAGCCAACATACATGTGTCTTCTTTATATTACTTTATTTCAGAGCCAGTTCACACCCAGTGAGGTGGTGCAATGGTCCAATCACAGGGTCATGGAGTGGCTCCGGTCAGTGGATTTAGCAGAGTATGCACCTAACCTGAGGGGCAGCGGAGTACATGGAGGCCTCATTGTGAGTAAATATTAAAAAATATATAATATAAACTATATACTACACCGATATGATAAATCTATGGAGCTCAACAGTGACCACTCGCTCCTGAAATAAATTTTCCATTCATTTTTCTAGATAGACTTTTAAAAAATCTTTTAAAACAATTTATGTGGTAATTAATATCCATAACGCATTTGTTTTAAAATTTGGCAAAAGGTTTTAATTACATTGAGGTTTACAAAGAAACTGATTTTAAATAAAATTATAGGATTTTTTGGTAATTTGTTACCATGTAGCAGATTATCCCTGAGAAAGCTTTCAAAGTTTTACTTTTCTTTTCTGTAAAGTCATGAAAAAATAATGTTGACATCTTGAATGTGAGTGGCTTTCTTCTTGATGATCAGATAAACCTGCCTGATCAGATTAACAAAACCCTGTATTGGTGCAGATGCTGGAGCCCCGGTTTAGCTCAGACACACTGGCCATGCTTCTGAACATCCCCCCACAGAAAACCCTGCTGAGACGCCACCTCAACACAAACTTCAACAGCCTGGTGGGTCCACAGGCTCAGCAGGAGAAGAGGGAGTACACAGAGGCGCCCGGCTACACCCCACTCAGCATCACAGCTAAAGTCAAGGTACAAAAACAGCATTAAGAGAACACAGGCCAGCCTCATGTGCACAGAAAATAACTAAGCCCAGGCAGTGTGAATGTGGTGTAAGTCTGAGCCACATAATCCCAGAGCGACAAACTCAGCGAAGTGTCTGTGAGCACAAATATCACAACGGACACCCAAATATCTAAATTAGAGGAGGGAATAGGAAACATTTTTCAAGATAACTGTTATTCATATTACATTGTAGGACATTCTTGGAGTGTTGTTATGCTCTAATACTAATTAATCAATTAATCAATCAGTACTTTTGACCTTTTTTTCGTTTGGACAATATAGTGTATACAGAAGTGGACTAAGGGAGTTTGACATCACCCATAGCATTTGGCTCCAGTCAAATGAAGCTCACGAGGCCAGCAGTTATAGGAATGAATTTGGAGCCAACTTAAATATTAGGAATAAGAATTTATTTATGGATAAAATAGCAAAATAAAAATATGCAGATCATGTAAAGGAGGTTAATACAAATGAGGCTCACTACAGCAGTTAGAGAGGGGTGACCATTTTTTTATGTTAAATCACTCTCGGGTTAGCTATGTCTGTTTATACAAACACTCTTATGGTTTGGACACGGGCTCAAAAAGTGAATTTATTTATTTTTTGCCTATAAAAAAAGTTGATTTTTTAAAATACAGATTAAATTGAGTAGATCAGATGCCTAGAGTGTAAATATATATTATATATATTATATATAATATAATAAGAATAATATTCTCTTCTGTTTTTTTAGCCAAAAAAGCTGGGCTTCTCAAACCTGGCTCACCTGAGGAGGCGGCGCCAGGAGGAGGCCACAGATTACGTTTGTCCTGTGGATTCGTCCTCCGCTCACTCTCTGTCCAACGGGACACAGGTACGGCCCTACACTGGCTTCAGAGGCCTAAGCCCCATTCTGGACCGCGATGATCACCCCAGAGACCAGGTGGGACTGGACAGCAGGACAATTGATTCATCGCCATGACAACAGCTCTCACCATGGACCATCAAAAGCTGTCCTGCTTTGGCCCCTCCCCTTTTTCCTTTAACACCTCCCTCCCAACATTGTCCTGGGCCTTGTGCTGATCCTGTCCAGAGGAAGACGCCTTTTTATCAGCAGCCCACTGCAGACTAACCCAGCTATGCCCCCATGTGGTCATGAGCTGATCTCAGGATTATTTCTTAAGGTTTTGTCACAGTGAAGAAGAGTGGACATGCATTGACATCTGTAAACCAGTGTTTGTATAAATACAAACAATATTATAGAACTTTAAATGCACTGCTAAGTATGTTTGTTAAAAATACCTAATGATAATAGAGCAGATTTAAAAACGGTATCCAGAGACCTAAATGAACACAGAAGGTGCCAGCAGGACTGTCATGTAACCTCATGTAGTTATGAAACTAGTTTTATACCACAGTGAACACCTTATTAGCTCATTTTACTATTATATAAACCAACAGGCATATCCTTAACAGATTTTTGTGTAAAATGTAAATGGCAATTTATTCTCGGTTGTGTTTGTGAAGTACCACCATATAAATATGGTGCTTTGTTTGAGATGGATCTGTGCAATATTTGCATAAAACAGGAGGATCTATTTATGATAGTCAGATATTTATATCACAGTATTATAATGGCTGAGCAAACTGAGCATGCTTGTTGAACACTAACCTGTGATATTTTGTATGGTTATTTTTCATATTTGACTGGATTAGTATTTTTATAGTGATGAACATTCTCTTCCAATGAAAACTGTAAATTCCAGATTTTCTTTTAATAAAAAAACTACAAAGCACTTCATCCTAGCTGTTAGCAAATCATGTTGCAAAAAAAGCTAGTCCATTTTTAAGTATCACTCTTTAATACAAAGCTTTTTTCTATGAATGCTTATTTTATTAATATGTGCGAAACAAATGATCAATAGACACTACAAGAACACAATTATGTTGCTAAACTCTAGTTTAAGGAAAATTCTACATAGATATCATGTTAAAACTAATGCTGATGTAGCTTGTATCCTCAACTAACATTTTCCTGCTATTATTCACATCGCATGGCAAACTGAAAGGCCTCCTTCCTGTTCAGACATTGCTGAAATTGTGTTATCGCTAAAGCAAAACATTGAATGTTCAATGGACTATTTGCATATGCGTGTCAGTGTCGTGGCATGACCGGTTTGTGTGTGCTGCAGATGGCGCCCTCAGAGGAAACCATGTTAGAGATAGGGACTTCATCTGAGAACATCAGCAGCCCCACAGTGAGTGTCTCACAGCCCAATGCTGCTTAATGAGCCTCTACAGCAGCACTCTGCTCACGGCACTAACACAAGACAATCTCAAGAGCTCTGGTTTAACACCAAACACATATGTGCAAGTGACAAAGGCATTTGTCACAGAGCAAGATGCTATATTCTTTTTATAGCACTCAGCATTCACAATGTTGGACAGAACTTTCATTATTACCAAGCACGCTGCAATGACAAAGTGTATTTATAAAAAAAAAAAATTAAAAAAAAGCCAAAATCAGATTATATTTACTTTGATCATATTGTGGGAGATATCAAGATGTAGCAAAAATAATAAATGGAATGTTTGAAGACAAAGGGCAAACATAAGAAATGCAGTTTTAAGACCCCAGCTGATCAGCTTTTAACCCTTGCTTTCCCAACATGCTTTGCTTGCAGCTCCAGCAGAAGGAGTTTTGGCGCCCTCACATGGCACAGGTGTGAACAGTCACTGTACCTCTCACCTGAGCTGTACCTGAGGACCCCTCAGAAATCCAGTGAAGATGAATAAAGCATATCAAATGGAGTAAAACAGATATCTTTGCACATGGGCGGGTTTTAAAATGCCCCTATTGTCTTATACAACATATCATCTTGAAGACAAGATGGACATGGTAGAAAAAAAAAAACTGCAGCTTTTTTGTCCAGACCATCTTTTTGTATTTGAAGATACTTGATTTACTGAAATACTGTTGTATTAATATCTCCTAAGATTGTTTATTTTATTATTATTATTCAGGTATCGTCTGAAGTCATATTTTTTGTCAAACTTATATGCCACCATCTTGTTTACAATAAACCAAGCTTTTTGCTAACAAAAGCAACTAATGCAAATGCTGACATAAGCCAAGGCTGTTTTTTACTGTGTCATTTGCCCAAAACTAAATGCTGTAGCAACAAGACCATTCCCCAAACATGAAATGTGCTGTGTCAACTATCCCAGAAATACATAAATGTATTTAATTATGGTTGTTGTGTGCCATGTTCAGTTAGTCAGTCCCCTGAAAACTAGTGCGCTCTCTGACTGAGTCTGTGTCTGTTTCTGTTTCTGATTGTGTATATGCTCAGTGTATTTGTACACCAATATGAGACTGGGGGTTTCTAACCATTATTGACACCAAGCAATTGAAAAATTGCAGTGGTCTGATCCATTTTTGATAAATTACTGATACAAATGATATGATATATTTGTATCACTAAATAGGCATTGTGAGTTAGCTTCCACTGCAATAATAAATAAATAAACAATTATGTTTTAAATGGTTTGGGGCTATTAAAGACTGTTGAGCCATTTTCAATATTAATTTATTCACAAAAAATATCTTGTGGATGTGACAGTTCTTTGCTGTTTGCAATTCAGATCCCTCGAGCTTCCACAGGTAGACCTAAACAGGTAAAGTGAGTCTTCTGTTGACTTAAATAAATGTGTAGTTTAACAATTTTAAGTTATGTCAAGCACCACACCCGTGCTTACATTGTGAGGCTAAGCTTCTTCGGGATGTTGGGACAGAAAAAAGTGGTGGTTCAGTTGGACCCACACACTCCAGCAGAACACACTGTGTATTTCAGCAGGGTCCAGGACCAGAGACCAGGACCAGACCTCAGACAGGGGGCTTTCCATCACTCATCCTGGTGAGTACATTTATGCACACTCATTCATTCCTGTGAAGAGAAATGCAGACTTCCTTTTACCATTAATAGCACAAAACAGCAACAAAAAATATTTGTTTTAGTCATTCAGTCCATAGGAATGTTACTACAATGTGTGTTACAAACTTTATCCTCCTTTACAGACTTAATCTGGGTCAACAGTCAATAGAATGGTTTGGGCCCATTTGAGTTATAAGGAAACATTATGAGAGGAAACAATCAGTTAGAATTATTAGATGAGACTTCTGTGAAAAACACAATGTACTCCAGTATGAACTGCATGTAGGCATAGTCTACCATCTGGTAAATGGAACTTGGCGTCAAATGTTAACAATGAATTTTATTTATAAGTGCCTTTCTTACGTCCAGTGTCACTTTACAGGACATAAACACAATAAAAACAACATTAGTACAATTTACATGTATGCTTTTGCAGTACATCAGAGAAACAAGCCTCTGACCTGAGGTCCACGTCATGGGAACATTAAGCAGTAAACCAGACCAGCTGCTCTCCTCTTTCAAAGTTCGGCCCATGTCCTGTGACCAGAGCACTCACCCCCAGAAGAGCATCTTTGCCACCCTGCGGAGGCCCCCCACCTCCAAACCCACTGACTTCATCCCCCTGTTCAACGATTGTGTCTCTGTGGCAGCTGCCCGCACTCAGGAGTACCTCACATTCAAGGACCCAGAAAACAAGTTCTCCCCAAGTCCAGAGGCACTCACTGAGGTCTGGGTCCATCTATGTAACTGAACGTATGCGGAGCGGGTTAAAGTCAAATATTGCTTTTGCTGATAGTATAATTGCCAATAAGATTATCCAATCAGAAAGCAGAATGTTTCTCATTTGGGTTACGAGCTTTAATGCTGAAATTCTGTGGGTTTAATAATAATATTGCATTGAATTTATATAGTGTCTTTCAAGACACAAGCAAGGCTAATACCAATGTTACTCAAATGTGTATGAATGAAACAAAACACAACTTCAAGTATGTTTTGAGGAAGCATTATAACATGGCTTAAAGCTCACAAGTCAGTTTTGTGTAATGTAGCACTTTTAAGGTACTGGCAACTCAGGTACAGTTGTTTTTGTAGAGCGCAGGGCACATACAGTTCCTTTAACCGTATAACTGTCCTTTCTTCTCACAGATCTTCCTCATGACCTACATCTCAGAGACAGTGATGTTCAGTTTGATGGACACGTTTAACTGCACGGTGATGACTCCGGGGCAGAAGTTTCTGCTGGGGGCCGACTGGGTCTGGGCAGTCCTGGACAAACCCACCAAGAACCCACGTATCCAAATCGCAGTCCAAGTCCTGCACCTGCCCGAGCGCGAGGGCAGGTCCCTCTACAGTAAAGCAGAGGAGATGTCTGATGAATCCATGCAGGTGGCACAGATGGCAGCTAGCAACAAGAACATGTGTGAGAAAATGGTGGACTTCTGTGCCTCTATTGGAAAAGACTGCTATGCCCTGTTCCTCTTTATGGGTCGGAAGAATGACAAAGATAATATTTATGGTGTCCTCAGTAATAATTTTCAAGCAGCAATAGGAAAGTGTGACAAGATCGATAGAAGTCTGATTGAGAATTTCTTTAGAGGGTCCAGGTACCTCCATACACCAACAGGGATGATGCAGGCTATTGTTACAAAGAGAAATGACGATCCACTTACACTCATGATAAAATTTAGCTAAACCAACAAGACATAATAAATTATTTAGATTAGCTCTGTCCACTAGCCAGGGTTCAAACTGCTGTTGGGTTTGGCAGTATACCAACAAGTACAGGATTTTTGCATTGCATCTTATTGCTTAAACTGTGAGAATACCAAAATAGTCATTCCTTATTGTGGCTTAAAATAACCCAGATACTTTACTGTTTTCACTGCAGCACTGCCTGATTCTGCACATACTAAAACACTAATAATGACAGAAAAGATTGGTGGAAGTGGAAGCAGAACTTAAAACTAAAACTTAAATAGCTCAAAAACAAAATGTCACTAATAGGGTAGAGGCCATGGTTCTTAAGTATTTTGCCTACCATTAGTTTTAGATTGATTAGTCTACTATAACATGATATACATGCTAAGCCATGTTATCCTGCCCTAATGTGTTAATGCTTTTGTTATGCTTACAATTTTAAAATCGTAAAATTTAAATTCAATAAAAATATACAATTTACATTATTACTTTATTAATTTAGTATTTGTGCAAACAATACATTCATTTTTTTGTGTTTATTTGAAAATTTAAAAAGAAAATTCTATAATAAATGGTATAAAATATTTTTATAACAATTACATCACATAATTTGTTAGGCAGTCTTTAGTCTTTGTAAACAACACAGGCACAGTATTTTAAAAAAAACATAATATATAAAACGTACAAATGCATGATTGTTGCAATAAACACCCTGTAACATTCTGTAACAACTGACAATAATTCTGTCAGGAATGTAAACTGTTAAAATTGGATGACATTTTTGTGGTTCAAAGTTCATCATTCAGTCTGCGTTTCTCCTCTTGCGTGCGTCTCTTGCATGTACAAATGGCAGTGTGGTCATTGGGCTGAGGCACGTGCTCCATCTCTTTGTGGCGTTGTGGTTGACCAGTCTGCCGTTGTGAGTACATGAATAGTGCGTTGTAGTAGTAACAGTAGAGTCGGCTAGGTTTAAGAAGTTCTCTGGCTGCCTCCTGTCCCGTCCTGGCCACCTTCTGTGCCTCTTCGTCATTGTCCTTGGCCCACTGTATTTTGTCCATGAGATCAGACAGGTCTCTCTTCACTGAGATGTAGTGAGTCCCAGGTTTAAGATGGATGTAGAAGTGCTCGTAGTAATGTGAATCCTGCTTCAGAACTAGACTGTTCCCCAGCATCAGGTATGGGAAACGGTAAGCTGCCACTGTCCCATCAATGTTTACTTGGTACTTGTACTGAAAAAAAAAGGAGTTATGATAAATATGTAATCTCCACAAACTTCTTAGTAGACTCTAGAAATGTTTTTGAGCCTAGAGTACTGAGAATTTTTCATTTTTCACTACCCCACTGCTTTTAAAAAAAATGCCACTAATGTCAGTTCTGCCGTTTTATATCAACATCACAATGCACAATGAACGAAATGTAAGATAATGAAGTACTTGTGTTTACTTTAACTTAGGTGAATGTTTAGGCTTATTCCACATGCCAACTTTACCTTGAAAAAATCAAAGAATCCCACCAGTGGAGCTTTGCCCACTTGTTTCTCTCGGTCTCTAAAGAAGAACCAGCCCGTGATTCCAGCATCCAACAGCTCAGGGTGTTTCTTGGACAAAGCGACTAACTGCAGGCGCTCCTCTCGACTGTCCCGGCCACGGAAAAACGCTCTAGATGTTTTGTTGATCCATGGAGGCCCTAAAGAGAATACTATCTTTTAGTTTTTTGGATCAACTGAGAATCTTATACACAGAGGATAATTTTAATTTTGTATTCTACCTTATATTTAAAAGGCCCATATTACCCTATTTTCTGTTCTGTGTTATAATGTTGTTTCCTCATCACAAATGTACCTGGAGCTATGTGTTTTGTTTCATTCACATGTTTAACTCATAAATCCTGCATATTTAGGCTGAGATCTTCGGCTTTTTGAGCTTTGGAGATGTAGACAAACTATTACGCAAACATGTGTGAATGAAACAAAACACAACTCTAGGTATGTTTTTCATCAGGTAGCAACATTATAACATGGCTTAAAACTCATAAGACTAAATTTTGCGTAATATAGGACCTTTAACAGTACCAGTGTGTCCCTGGACAGACAGCAGGTCGTTGGTGACTCCTCTCATGGTCTCCAGAGTGGAGTGTGTGACCTCATATGTGGGCAGGACAATGTCTCTGGTGTCAGTGGATCCACACCAGGAGAAGATGGGGAGAGGGCCAGGGCTCGCATCTGCACTCTTTGTCTCTAAAGGCCAGTCCCCGACATTTATGTAAAACTCCACATCAGGTACTTTGACCTGCAAAAATTATTCAACTTTAAAAGACATTCTCTATCATTTCCGTCAGTCTGCCACAGGAAATTATAATTATTTTCTTCCTGTATACTTAATGGTACACTATGTAATTTTCTGAGTGGAGGATCTAGTCTCTGCATAGAATGTTCCTTCCCCAGTACGACATTCAATTGATCTATATCTGTGGAGACAAGTACAGATCAGATCCTTGAAGAGACAACCCACTCAGAGTAAGAACAGAACTCAAGAGCAACAGGTTTAATGCCATACTCTGGAACTTTCCAGGCAAAGAAATAGCATATCCTTAGAAACAAGCAGGTGCCAGAACCCCCCTCCAGCAAAGTTACATAGTGCACATTTAAATCATACTTTTCAATAAATGGTAAACAGCACTGAAGCAAAGGCAGAACATTAAAATCTATTTAATTCATATAATTCACAGAGATTTTGCCTTTTAATCAAAAGGGGGTTTCAGTGAATATAGGTGGGAGGTGTGGGGTTTAAAAGTGGGAAAAAATGTAATCAAACTGTAACGTATATAGCTGCAAATCATCAATACTTAAAAATGTGATCACAAAAAAATATAATTCTCAGAGGTCGTGATAAAACCTACCTTCCTAGTTAGAGACAAGAGTATTTCATCTGAAAACATCTTGAAGTCTGTATATTTCCCTTGAGTGCGTCGGTAGATCTGGTTGTTAATAATGGCGTAATGAATGAGGCCACCTCGGTTAGAAAATCTTTTGGGCACGTCCTGTCTAAGGCGCTGGAGGTCTACGGTGGGGAAGGATTTGAAGTCTGCCAGAATCTGGGGTTCCTTTTTGGGACACTGCAGCTCTTTCTGCCAGGCTGAACCATCAGGCTCTGGGCAGTCACAGTATTCATGGTAAACTGGACCTGGAAGAAGAAACATCAGTTACAAAAGTAAAATAAGTTTAACCAAGATCTAAAGTTACATGTATCTAAAAAAACAGAATAATACTTTGGCTTGGTGCTCTGTTTTCTGTATAAAACAATGCAGCAATACTTGTCCCTTTACAATGCAAAATTAGCCTTCATCATTCTACATATTGATTATGTTAGAAAGATTTTGTGTTGTTATTCTAGTGTAAATTATTTAATTAAGGATGCACTGATCTGATACTGGTATCACAGAAAAATGACAGAAAATGTCCTGTATTGAATATCAGCTTCCAAATATCAGTTCAGCCGATATCTTGGTTGTACATTTGAATTTATGTCATAAGAGAATTTCCTGGTCGTAGTTGGTTCCTGCTTTCATGGTTGTAGACTCATATTGTGAAATTTTATTTACACAAAGCTAACCTATAGTTATTTGAGGGAAAATAACAGCTACATAACACATTTAGATCAGTTTTGTCTTATTTAATTTTGATTAAAAGAAAGAAATGCTGTTATCAGTCTGATATCAGTTGATATCGAGTATCAGCAGATACTTAGAACCATAGTATCAGAATTGGTATCAGAACTGAAAAAGCTGGATAAATGCACTCCTATACTTTTTAGATCTAAAGTTATTTAAGAAAAGACAAACCTTGTATAGTGTATGGTGATTTTGCAGCAGGAACATCTCCGTGAAGGACTTCCACCTTTAGGCCCTTAGATGCTGTCCCATAAAGCCTGTATCTGACCAGAAAAGACCCATCTTCTCTGTCCAGGGGTTGAGCGACGTGGATCCGAATGTACTCCTTTGGGTCCAGGGAACTTATTTTCACCTTGAATGCATCTTTACCTAAAAGAATAATAAAATATGGCCTATGACTTTAGATTACAAGTCAGTAAAAAGCTATTCTCTTTGTCTTTTGGAACAGTTAAGTGTGTCTAAACCTTAAACACTAAAACAACATCTGTCTGTCAGCTGATTGTAAGTGAGCAATAAAAAGATTTTGCTATGACACCCACAGAAATGACACACAGTTCCAGATAATTTGAGTTATTGCTGTTTACATTACCTGGAGATGCAGTAAGGTTGTGTCCATGTGAACCTACTGCCTGGATGTAGAAGTAGCGGACTGGTAAAACGGTGTCCGCCTGCAGCCCCGAGCCCCAAATAAGACATTTCTGTGGGTTGATTGCTGCTGAAGTGCCATACACCGGTAAGACTACTGCGAAAACCCACGCAAATAAAACTACACACCAACGATATACGTCCTTTGAGAAAGTGCTGGTTACGTTTAGTGCGTGCTCCCAGAACATATTCCTTGTAAATTAGGTAAAATCGCGAAACTGTGTTAATTTAATTTAGCATAAAGTTTCAGCCTCAGCCGACATGTTGTAGTGAAGACGGACACGCCCACTTCCAAAGATGCGTTCGTGTGTGTAGGAAATGTAACCTCTGGTCGTTATTGCGCTAAAAATGTCACGACAAAAAAATAGAATATTGAAGTGTCTGTTCTGTACATCAGTCATAAGTCGTTCTGTAATCTGATGGCCGAGATAGATGTTAAGTAAAAATACGAACAGACATTCAAAGTAGGCTTCTTTTTTGTTAGCCAAATCAGTACACTTTGTTGTTGTTAATAAATTGTCAGCTTTATGACACGGCTCTAAATGTATCACCATACCTATACAATAAAAATATATTGGTCATTGTACAAAAATACTGTAGTAAGTCATTGTGTGAAAATGTGCTTTATTTCACATAGTTACAAATGTCAAGTATAAAATAACAAACAGACATTCAAAGTTGGTTGTTTCTGTGTTAGCCAAATCAGTATGCAAAAATATTATCAGCTTTGTGACCCAGCTTGTCCAGGTTTGGCAAACATGCATACTGTATCATAGGTGGGGGACCACACAACACAACCAGGACATCACTGGAGGGAGCAGGGAGGTGGTCCTTGATCATGTCCGCTGTCACGAACCCTGAACTGTAGCTCCAGTCTGAGGAAAACATGCAAGCAAATAAAAATCAACAGTAGTATGCAAAATAAAGTAAATACTGTATATATGGGGTGTATATAAGATTATTCTTTATAGATAATATGAGAAGGATGAGAAGGTTCTTGAAGGATTTTTATTTATGTTTTGTCCCTTGATTTAGATTTGCTTCTTGTCTATGTGCCTGCCTATGCAATGGACATTTTTTACGCTATAAGACACTACACTACTTTAAATCTGGCTAGCATGGCTTTGTCAATCTCTCAGTAATGCTTTAACAGACAGGACATTAGCACGGAAGTGTGAGTAAAACCACAAGAAGAAACCAGAAGTGACATTCAAAACCAGATTCACACCTTCAAAAAAGGAATTCAGTTTTCAGTTAGAAATATATTAGTATAAGCAAACTGGCAATGATGTCATCTGTTCCTGCATGATTACTAATTAATACACAACATGAAAGCAAAAACTGAGAAAGGATCAAGGGCCTTTTCTGGGTGGTATTACTGGATGCTAATGTCACAGCTTATGTAATACTGTCACACATGATTAGTATGAGTTTTTTGAAGGATTAGATGTACTAAGACATGGGCGCAGGGCTTAACTTCAGTAAAACCTTGTGGTAAGATGCAGGTATCATGCTGGGCTCATGGATTTTCCTTTAGTGCCTGTAAAGTCAAACAGACTTCAATAGCTTCTACTCTGTCTCTGTTCTTAAGGTATCCAAACACCATGGCAATACCATTCAATGCACCTTGTTCTATATTTGCATAAGCTACAAGCAGTGTTGGGAAGGTTACTTTTAAAATGTAATCCCCTACAGATTACAGATTACACACCCCAAAATGTAGTTTGTAACGTAATCCATTAAATTACTTAAAGTGAGTAACTTAATCTGATTACTTTGGATTACTTGATATTGTCATGTTTTTTTAAACGACATGAATGTAGCAACCACATCCTGAAAATTCTTGTTTGTTGTCTTCAAATTGTCTGAGTCCAAGTCTCCATGAATAAGCAACTGTTTGCTGTAGAGAAACAAAGACCACGATATCTTAATATAAGAGGTTTTGTCTGTTAAAAGACAGAAACAAGATAAGCCTTTCCTTCACCATATTAAAAAATATTATTGATAGAGAAATTATTTTTATATGAGATCACCTTTAATTATGTCAACCTACTGTTAGGTGTCATGTTGTTTGACCTGGTTTAGTCCTGGTTTAGTCCTGATTTTAGACTTGGTTTAGACCAGGTCTAGACCAGGTCTTTAGTTCTGGTTTAGTCGTGGTTTAGTCCTAGTTTAAACCTGGTTCAGTCCTGCTTTAGTCCTGGTTTAGTCCTGGATTAGTCCTGGTTTAGTCCCGGTTTAGTCCTGGTTTAGTCCTGGTGTTAGTTCTGGTGTTAGTTCTGGTTTAGAGGCGCACAGGAGGAAGCGCGGTTTACGCGAGAAAACATGGTCCACACGCGGCGCACGAGACGGCGGTGTCCGCGCTGTAACTACGGAAGGAAACGTGGTCCGCGGGTTCTCAGGTTGATGACGATGATGAAGGTGTGTGTTTGTGTGTGTGTCCCCTCATGTCGCAGGTCAGTATAGGACAGTAGTGCAGATATTATGAGTCTATGCAGGTTGTTTTCACCAGTGCCAGTAGCTCCTGTTTCACATTTAAGTTGTAGGCGATTTTATATTTGTTATATATATATATATATATATATATATATATATATATATATATATATACACATCGGGAGAAGAATTTCCAAGACACAAATGCGTTTTTACCAATGTACTGCTACTTCCACTGTGTGACTGACACCGCCAACTTTAACATGACGTTTCCATCGCTCTTATTGTGCGCGTTCTGTTTGGGCTTCAGGCAATTAGTGGAATTACCGAAATAAAAAAAATTATAAATGCGAGGTAGCACAAAATGTGAAAACAGGAAAATACCGCCTTGTAATCCACTTATTTCAGCAAAGTAACTGTAATCCAATTACCACTCATTGAAACAGTAACTGTAACGGAATACAGTTACTCACAATTTGTACTCTGATTACGTAACGGCGGTACATGTAATCCGTTACTCCCCAACACTGGCTACAAGTTACAAATAGGTGTAGGGCTCAACAGAAATATAATTTTAGTCTTAGTAAACAACTTGTGTATCTGCCAAATGGGAACACAACTCAAGCAGAATTTATTAAGACACACAGTCACCCGTCGAAGTTGTAGCTGAGTTTTAAATAGTCTTTAGACTGGGTTATAAGTTACTCTATAGTTACACCTAACCAGTGGTGGAATGTAAGTAAGTAGAAGTAGGAAATAACTGTAGATTTTAGGTATCTGTATTTTAAGTCAAATTTAAAGTGAGTACTTTTTACATGAAAGCAAGTATCTGTACTTTCTGCTCAACTACATTTTGGAACTGGACTGAAAAGTAAAAGTATTTTTTATTATAGTTTTGGACATGCTGAAAAGGCTGACGGGTTTACTTTTAACATGTTCAGAGTTTGAAAAATCTGATCTGTATCAAAATTACTACATTTGAAGCCTTATAAGACCTCAAAAAACACACTTTTACTCTTACGTTTCAACTGAGACTTTAATACTTTTACTGATGTAGATTTTTTTTTTTCATTTGATACTTTTTTTCTTTTGCTCTTTTTCACTTAAGTAACAAAACTGAGTACTACTTCCACCACTGTACTTAACCCATAAACTGACCTATGAGTGAGAGACCTCAACATACTGAAATACTGGCATACATGTTTCACAAGTCACAATTTCAGTGCTATTTGTGAAACTTTGGCTTTTATGGTAGGCCTACAGACCAAGCTGTAAAGTTCACAAAGTTCTTAGCCAGTCTAGGAATGTGCTATTAAAGTACAGTTAAAAGTTACCCACAGATTTCGTGTGTGACGATGATATGCACAAACTGGAGAAATAAAATTTTCTATCCAAATTTGGTATTGTACGTAGGATAAGGAACAGTTTACCCTGTGGAGGTTTGTCCAGTGTGTACCACAGGCTGAACTGGTCAGGATGGTTCTTCTTTACCTCCTCCAACTCTTCTCTCAATAAAATATCCTTCTCTGTCTAGGAAAAAAAAAAAAGTCAGCATCTTCAGCATTTGGGAAAGTACATTTTAAGTGTTGGAAAATGGCTGACCTGATTGGCAAATATGAGTGAGCATTTGGTATTGTCGGAGGGGTCTGCTGTGATCCTGCGAACCAACTGGAGCATTGGAGTGATCCCTGACATGATTCAAGAGATTTCTGTTACTATAGAAACCATGTTTATTAAGCCATTTATACACTGGTCCACTAGGCCAATATGAAAGGTGTAGATGTAGTGTGTAGCTATGGTACAGATAAAAAAAATAAAAAATCATAGTGTTTAAGGCCATATTTACAAAAATAACAGAAAGCTTTAAGGTGCACTGTATAACTTCTCCATCTCCAGGAAGATGTTATTGCTTTCCCTCGAATGTTCCATGGTGTGACATTAAACATGTCTGTCTAGCATTTAGTCATTCTGGGTGTTTCTGTTGCTCAAAAATACAATAATTCCTTTTGTGAATAGGGGTGACTCTCCACAGCTCTGAATTGTAATGTAATGTAGTGCTAGTACCTGCTTGTCCCCCTTGTGATATAGGTTTAATCTATACTGTGGAACATTTTAAACAAAGCATTTCCATAGAGTTAAGCTAAAATCAGATCTTCCACTTGAAATATCATGCAGTGCAAATTAAATTAATAACTATGTTTCATTCAGTGACAGAAAAGACAACGTTGTGTACCTGTTCCTCCAGCAATCATAGCCACGTGCTTAAACTTCTTTATTTCTGGCTCTGACTTCTTGTCTGGTCTGATGGAAAACTTTCCTAATGAAGGCATTACAATAAGGGTTAGAGAAGTTTGGGCTGTATTATAACACCATCTGCTGGAGAAAGGAAGGAAAGGTTCAGTTGTTAAACAGCCTTACACAAGAACACAATTATTTGCACGTAGGCTGTACAAATGTCAACAAATCACATCGGGTTACTATCGGGTTACTATTTGACCATGTACAACAAAGCCTACCATTGCCTTTGTAAATCAGAAGTCCATTGGGGCCTCTGAAATCAATGCTGTCTCCAATGGCCATGTTGTCCAAATACTGAGACATCTTTCCTCCTTCTGGATATGAGGGGTGCACATTCTTGTAGTACACCTGCAAAATGAAAAATTGAAACTTTAGTCGTGTATATCCACTATAGTCTGTACATTTTACAGTAAATAAAACTAGCTGAAAACACTTTTTGACTTTGTGGTCAGTACCTTCACAACAAGGTCCACGTAGCCCTGGTCTTCATCACTGGACACTGGGGTGTATGCTCGAACCACAAGAGAGCCATTGACTTTTGCTGATAGATACACATGCTGACCTGAGGAAGAGAAACACCGACCAATCACTGTGATAGTTTGTTCTTTTCAACTGTACAGATATTTCACTGTGGTCTTCTGGGGGAGCAGCACCAGCAAAAGGGACATTCGATGGATTGACAAACTGAGCCATGTGGTTGACTGTGAGCTGGAAACATTTGTCACAGTGAGGGACAGGAGGACACTGAACAAACTGCTCTCCATCATGGACACTCCTGATCACCCACTGCACCAGACTATAGAGGGACAGAGAAGCTCATTCTCCAACAGGCTCCAACAGGCTCCAACAGCTCCGCTCAAACAGTGAGAGCTACAGGACTACATTTATACCATACTCCCTACAACTGTACAACAACTCACCCTTATGTAACAGATAATGCTCCCTACAACTGTACAACAACTCACCCTTATGTAACAGATAACCCTATGTCCTGTCAATCACTATTTCATTTTTGCACTGTTTCTCCTTATGACCTCTTGTATATAAATTACATATATTAATTATTTCTATATTTTATTTTTACTTGTACTTGTACATGTACATTTATATAACTATGCCCTGTTTGACTCCAGTCTCTTGTTAGTTTTGCTACTTATTTTGAATGTATTATTATCAGGGGATGTAACGATATCCAAATCTCACGGTACGATATTATCACAATATGCATCACACGGTACGATATTTATTGCAATATTTTGGCGAGGCTATTATAATTGTAGATTGGACACTTTTTTGCTTTTAAAATACCTTGACAAGATTTTGGTGTGAATTATTTCAGTCATAATCCCAAGAATTCAAGTCAAAAACATATTTCTTCATGTTATCTGCACTGAAATGAATCGTGGGATATGTAGTTCCCTGTGTTTATGAGATGTTGCTTCTATAAAAGCATGCGTTTAAGCAAAGAAACTTGTAATTCGATATATTGTGACAACCCACGATATTTTTGTGAGACTTTTGACGATACAATATCACGATATTTCAGTTATTGTTACATCCGTAATTATTATCATTTATATTTTTGCTCTTTGATATTGTAATATGTTGTGATGTGTGAGCTGCTGTGTCCAAATAATTCCTCTTGTAGATGAATAAAGTTTGTCTAAGTCTTTATCTATATTTGTATAATAGTGAGGTTAGATACAGTACCAACTGGCAGCCCAAGGATATGGGACTCAGAGGGAAGGCCAAAGCGAAATTTCTTTGTATCGTGGTTGATTTCCTGTTGAAGGACAAAATGGGGGAGAAAAATAAAAAATCAAGAACACAGGAACAACATTGTAAAAAAAACAACAAAAAAACTGCAGAGTTAAGACTACAGAGTGAAGATTACAATTTGGACTAATATTATTTTGATGCAATTTCTTTACCAAATATAATAAAACTACACAGTATTAATAAAAAAACTATACATTATTAACATTACTAAATTAAAATAGGTCTACTGAATGTTTGCTTGAATAACACTTGTGCACCATTATGAATGCATGTTTAACAGTTTGGAAACAAATAAAGTAGAATATAGAGTATAGTACATTCATTCATTCATTCATTCATACATACATACTGTGATATCTAAGCATGCATGTGTTTGACTGTGGGTGGAAGTAATACAGAGAACATAAACTAATATATTCTCACCTGTTTGTCAGTGAGGCGGAGAGGATATTTTACTGCAGGATCCTGGAGAGTGACTGGCAGGTTTTTTTTCTTTTCACCACCAGAAGATTGGAGAATGAAGAACAGCACTGTGGCTACAAGTACACATGCTGCCACCACAATCTGCAAGAGGAAATTGTGTAACAAAAGTATGCATACCAAAAGAACAAGGATAAAGTTGTTCTTACCAGTGTTGGGTCCATGATTTTGGCTGAGGCCTTGGTAGTGTTTCCTGAAACCACTACACTCTCAAAGTCCACTCTTGGGCAGAGTTCATGCTGTCAGAAAGTAAAAGGAGGTGTGGTCTCTCAATGAGTGAAAGGTGACACGCTTGGTTTAGACCAATAAGAGGCCAGAGTCCCACCCGCTCTGCACAGCCCAGAAGTGGTGCACTGTCAGAGCTGAAGATCCTGATATCACCCCACCGTAAGGGAGGGGACGGGGCAGGAACTCTACAAGGCTGTGTGCGGACTACCAGAGTTCACTTCTGTTTGATGAAATTGTGCAGAGCTTTTGGGGATTTTCAAGGAAACTTAGATCACTTTAGCCATAATCCATTTATACATTTATTTTCTTGTGCAGTAATTTATCAATGAAATGCTTCAGTTTGACTAGATAAGGGCCTTATAACAAGGTAAACAAGATTACTGTCATCTGAGGACAGTATTGTCATTACGTGTAGATAACCCATAAGTAGGGAACAATACAAAAAAAAAAAAAAAAAAAAAAAAAAGAGGGGGAGAGAGAAAAGAGAAAAAGAGAGACAATAATGACTCAATGAGGCACTCAGGGCATGTGCCTTTATCTAGTCTTCAAAATATAGTGACACAATATTTCAGGATGAAAACTGTTTTCAAAACATTTCGAATAAACAGAAACAGAAACATGTTTACTTTAGTCCTCGAATTAAAGCACAACTTATTATGTTATTCATTTATTTTCTTATTTGCAAATAATATTTAAAATGCATTTATTGTCCTTCACTCAGTCCCAGAGGATTCGTATGGAAAGTCCGAGCCCAGCCTCATTTGCACAGAAGGCTCTGAGCTCTGCTGTAGATCCTCTGATTCATGGTCCACTCTCCTTTGACCAGACTCTGTCAATACAGAGAGAAAAACAGAAATACAGTCATTTTTTCCCCATCAAATCTTTAATAATTATCTTTCAACAAGTAGTCATTTTCAAGTACACTTTCTAACCACAAGATGGAGCCAAAGTGCTATTTGTGATATTACGGCCCATAGTTTTTTTTGTTACTATCACTAAAAAGACACAGGGTAATTAACACTAAATATTCTGCATTGTAATATATAACAGTTAACTGTGACATCATTATATAACTGTATTTTTGATTGTGTTGCTTGGATTAAAATGCAGTTAAGTTTCAAGAGAGAAACAATAATCCTGTAAACTACATGTACACTGTAAACAACAGAAAAGCACATTGCTCGAAAAGGAGTGGGAAGAAGAAAAACTCATATTACCCTTCCCCTGTTCGTTACATTGTTTCAAAAATGATGTGGTTGCTCATGTAGTAAGTAGTGTAAGTTAAAAATATATAACTCAGAATATGACACTAAACTGTATTGATATGGAATTAATAACATCTTGGCCTAAATTCAGGGTTAATCTTTGTGGAGACAGTTAATAAAAGTGTGTGAGTCACTCTTTATTGTAAAGAGCCTGAGAAAATGTGAACTCCTGGTGCAGTCCCAGAGGAGCCGGGGTGTGGCGAGAGGAACAGGTATCACCAGCAACAGCACAGCAGGGAAGAACAAACATCTGAACATAACGACTAAATCTGACTGTACCACATGCAGTTTCAAGAATTTTTATATATTAGCTGTTAAAGCATTTGTAATTCATATTATTTTAATGTCTAAATTTCCTCATAATACTTTATTTCAGAGCAGGGAGTGGTTGTGTTTAGTTTTTTCAGCTGCATTGTCTAAAAAAAACACATGATAATTGGTATTCTTCCACTGTTTTTAGAGTGCATTAGGACTATGTAATGTAGTTGTAGTAGTTCCAAGAAAACTATGAAACTATTACTAAGCCAAGTACCATCTGTGAACAGCTTGCAGTGTATATTTGGGTAGTAGGAGGTGTTTTCTGAAAACAAAGATGAAGAAAAAACAAAAAGTAGGCTATTTCTGTTGGGCAAACTTATGCACCATCCGGCAGAACAGTACACATCTAATTTACTGGAATATATTCATCTGATATTTTGATTGCAAACATTTATAATAGATGTGATAATTTAACTTTCAAAACTTCAAACTTTAAAACTAACAAAGGTTATTTAAACATTTTAGTGAGTTAAACCAGAGTAACAGGTCCATTGCAGCCTGAGTGTGAAATACCCCATTGTCTTACTAAATGTCATTGACCCTAATATTTGTTTAGCTCATAACATTACACTCAGACTCCCTTTGCAGCCTTGTGTACAGACAAATAATGATTAAAGATTATGAGAAGTTTGACAGTAGCCCCAAATCAGCAGATAGATACACTGCAACTCCTTGGTATAATGTTTCATGTGGCTTATTAAATTACATAAATTACAGCAGTAATGTAGAAAGCATCTAGCGGTGTAATGTGAGAATACAACGGGGCCAACTGAGCCAACTGAATTACAAATGGTAGCTTTAAGGTTTATTAGTGAGAAGGAAAGTGACTTAATTAAGGTGTAAACTGAAGTAGTGAATGGGTTCAGTAAAAAAAAAATAACCCTGAGATGTAGTGAGTATCTGATTTCCTCTTAAGTCCTTGGTGCACCTTTTCCCACATGGCTTATCCTCCCGATGCAAATCTGTAAACATGATATTTGTGGATTGTTATGCAGTGCAATATTTGACATGTACACATAATTAGACTTTATACTGGTTAGGTGAGCTATATAAGGTATATAAAACAATCTGAAGCAACTGTATTATATTTATTCATTGATTTTTCTCTGCTTATTATTATTGCCAGGCCTTTTTCAAAGAGCAGGATTTAACCTTGCAGCTTTGGGCCTTACTGAGTCTTTGGACAGTAGTCAGTTCATTCCTCTGTTAAGACATACACACATATAGTCACTCTCGTATTACAGTTTTTTTATTTTATTTTTTATTTTAGCACATTTTTTGGAACTTGGCTCAGTTTGATCATTTGATTCAAACATGTATCTGGACAGGAGCTCAGGTGGTCAAATCATTTGGAACATTTCTTTTTGGTTCAGACAGTTCTCAGGCTCTTTCTCAGAACCTTTGACACAATTCTCATTCACAAACATACGTGAGCACTGAATTCAATGTTTTCTTTTGTTTTTTGTTTGTTTTACAGGTCAGTTTACACATGGTAAAGGATGTTGGTCCAAACTCTGTCACTTTGAATATAGAAACTCGTGACAGCAGAAAGCAAAAAAACAAATATTTGTGAGCACCCAAAATGTATCAACAAAGGATTTCAAATGTGTCAAAGAGAAAGAAAGGCCTCAGCAGTGAGTACAGACTGTGCAGGCTACATAGAGATACACACCCTGTGAGACATGCAACTGTCTCGTTTGATTTCAAGAATATATTACATATTACAGTTCAAAAGGAGTATTTAAGTATCTTCTATTCAAACATCTATCTGTTTTCTACACCATAAATATTTTGGATCAAATATTGCTAAATCTTCTTTGCAGTTAGTACTGTGTACATTTATATTGTACATACAATTCAGACAGATTTTAAACAAAAAAGCAAAGCTTTTCTAGTCCAAAATCCATCTGTTTAATGTGTGAACCCATCTGCAAACTGCACTAAACCAGTGATTCTCTGTGGTCACTGAGAGAGGGACTTAAACTTCTGAACTACTCTGTCAAATGACTAAAAGAGTCCAGAAAAAAAACACATGATGAGAGTTTGAGAGTTTTGATGGTAAAAACTTGTTTTTGCTAGATGGTTGATTAGTTTTGAATGAAAAACTGCATTTTACTGAGATTGAATTTTCTTAAGGAAAACTAAAAATCTGTTTAGGATTTTGTGGGAGCTGTTTTGCAAATGTCAATTCTCAATTAGATCAGAAAATAGTGTAATATGGGCCCTTTAAGTAAAATGTATATTAATAATTCTAATACATGCCTATACAAACACACATCAAATTCACAAACCTGATTGGTGGATGAACTCTATACTGGCACTGAAGCCTCTGTGAGTCACACTGTTGTCTGATGTAAACTGAAGGACCATAACACTGTGGTAGGAGATGACAGGAGGAGGAAGACTGGTCCCACAAAGCACAGCTACAAACACCATCAAAATACACCATAATAGTCAGCTTGTTTTGTTGTTTTAGCATTTTGTCTGTGTACCTATCTCATCTGTTCCCTCCACGTCGCCGTAGACAACCAGGGAATCATACAGACATCTGCTGGACTCCTCCAACTCAAAATCTGTTAATCTCAGCTGTGGGCATAAACAATTGTTATTGCATTTAAGAATTTATTGCATGTCTGTATTTAGTTTTACCTTAATGATGTGGCCCTGTGTTGCATAGACCACCCATCTGAACATGCAGTTGTTCGTGTAGTGTTGTGGGAATCCAGGGCTGTGGATGTTCGTCTCATTCTGCACCAAAACAACTGTGCCACATCCTAAACAAAGTCAACTGAAATATTTTAGTTTTGTACTGACAACTACTACAAATGTTTACTACCATCAAAACCTGGAGTTGTGTTTATTTCATTCACACATGTTTGATTAAACCTTTATTATTCATGTGTCTACATTTCCAAAGTTCAGAATGCTCTGTTACACCTTGTGATGTCATGAAGGGGTAGTTTTCAAGTTAAAAGTCACCTTTTACTTTTAGTTCAGTAGAGATTGGCAATTCCAGGGCTCATATCAAATACATGATTCTATTGAAGTGAAGTGGAGAATGAAACAAAACACAACTCCAAGAATATGTTAATGATAAAACTAAATTATAACATACAAAATTGTGTAATATGAGCCTTTTAAGTGCCAACCTGGGAAATGCTTAACTCAAATGACGCTAAGCGATCGCACTGCATGTACAATATCTCTGACTCAGAGCCTGCTATCTGTAATTCTCTATTCTTCAATACCCATGAGCACTATGGTAACACAGGCCTGCTGTGTGTCTTGTGCAGCTCATTATGTCTGTCATGGGACAACCACCTGCACTCAAGAGTCAGTCGGACTGGCAATGTTCTGTTCTGTCTACACACTTTATATTGGATACTAGAGCACGTGCACTTTCAAGTTCATTTAAAGGGCCCATATTACTATTATATTACTATTTTCTGATCTGTTATAATGTTGTTTACTCATCAAAAATATATCCAGATTTGTGTTTTGTTTCAGTCACACATTCCTGTTTTTCTCTCAAACAGAAAACAGGTTGTTCCACCTTGTGATATCATGTGATAATGTGGTAATACAGGAAGTGCTCAACTGTCCTTTTAAATTTTATACATCTTCAACTAGACTCGTTTGGATAATTTAAGCCCTGGAAATTTAAACCCTATCTCTACCAAACAAAAGGTCTTAACTCTTAGCTTTTAATTTGAAAACTATCCATTCATAGCAGAACATTTTGAGCTTTGGAGAAACAGACTAATAAAGAATTAGTCAAACATGTCTGCACTCTGGGTATGTTTTTGAGGAGGTAACAACATTATATCATGGCTTAAAGCTCACAAGAGTCAATTTTGAGTAATATAGGACTTTTAAAGTTAACAGTGGCATGACACTTTGAATGTATTTTGTCAATTGCCAAAGAAACATAAAAAATACATGAGTACAAAGTGAAATTGACTAACACGAAAAAAGAATGCGGCATTGAAACGAGAGAAGACAGTCTGTTTACAGTTGACTGCTAGTTCCTACCAGGATCAGTGAATCTCTGAACAGCACGGTACTTCATGGCAAATCCTGTTCCCACTATGCTCACATCAGAGGAGAAAAGCACTGTTGCATGATGGGAATTAACAAGGAATAATTGGCTAGGATAGACATTTCCACAAAATACACCTGCAAAAGATAAACAATTGTCACTAATATACAGTGATGGGAAGAATACTTTGAACATATATTTAGTTAGAGAATACTTTCATTCACATTTTGTAACATATTCTGGTACATGGGCCAATCAGAGTACTGTATTCTGAGTAGTTGGAATGCGTTTCCATAGAATTTTATTGTATTATAGTGAAAAAACATGACATGTAATTACAAACAGCTTTATTTTTGTTGCACTGTTTGTTATGCATAAATTTTTGTCTAATTAGAGACAAAAAAAAAAAGCACATGCACGTACTACAAGAGCTGTGTTTTCTATTTTTCTTATTTCTTAATGCCGCACTGCTCAAAGCCAAAACTGCATGATCAGGTATTGTTTTTTTTATTTAGGAAAGTAATTATGAATTCCCCCAAGTTAAAAAAATACCTGTATAATAATACAGGAATACAGCTCCAGTCTTCAGAATATTTTTGATATGTATTCAGCTACTTTCCAAAACTGCTCACAGTTTTCACAGACCAATTTGTTTAGACAGAGAACTACATTTTCAAAACTGTGCTCAATGTCTACCTATACATTATTGAATAATAATAATGCAGTAGTCTAATAAATCACTTTTGTAGATGCTCAAGGACACGTCTATATATTTGTACTTTACACATTCAGTCCATGTATGAAAATGCACAGAACTCACCAACAGGTTTTTGAGGTCCGACAGACAGAGTAAGTCGATCATAGAGACAATATGAGTCATTCTCCAAATCCAAATGTTTAATCTCCAATAAAATGCTGGACCCATGAGGGGCACTGATCCTCCATACACACAGTCTGTAAAAAACACAAATAAAGTCATAAATAGTAAAAGTAATAAAATACTGTACTTAAGTACTAATTTTAAGTATCTGTTCTTTACTTAAGTACATTAAGTTAAGTGGATACTTTTTACTTTTATTTTACTACATTTGAGAGCAGGTATCTGTACTTTCTCCCAAACAAAATGTTTGAGCAGGACTAAAATGTAAAATAATTTTTATGATAGTTCGGGACCTGCTGAAAAGGGGTTTATTTAAGTTCATAGTTTGAGCAAACTAAAATATACAAATACTTAAGTAAATTTTTCAAGATACATTTACTTTTTTTTTTTTTTGCATCATTGTCTGTACTTTTACTTAAATAACAAGATAAAATACTTCTTCTAACACTGTATTGCTCCTGGCCTACTCCGGGAAACACACAGTTGCTTTTCACCTCAAAGCCCATAATGAATCAATTCTCTGTCACTCACTCATTGTTGTCATAGTAACGGTGTTGGGAGGCGGGGTTTCTGATGACCCCCTCCGTGTCAATCACAGAGCCATCCTGCACAGTGCACAGTCCTGGCACACACAGAGCACTGCTCACATCAAACAGGCATGCATGAAAAATAGATGAAAAATGACTGTAATGAGAAGAAAAACACCTCACTGGATAAAGGTCTCCCCGACTGCTTTGACTCAGCTGTTCGGAAAAAACATACAATATCATTTATTATTTATTATTTAGTATTGAATTAAATGATTCAACTACAAATACATCGTTTTGTCCAAGGCTTAAAAGCAGTATGTTTTTTAAAGGTGCATTGTGTAACTTTTCTGGTGGAGGGCCCATCAAATGCTTTTTTCCACAGACATGTTGCTGGTGTCTGGAATGTTTCATAGTATGGTATTGAACCGTTCTAACGTCATAGAGACCAAAGCAGATCAAGTTACAGGTCAGATCTGTGAAGAGGCAACCCCGCTTACAGTCTTAATGCCTGTTTTGCTAAGTTTTTTTGAGTTATAAAAACTGTAAGTGAATGAATGTAAGGTAGAGCTGTTTAATGTCATAATACGGAACATTCCAGGCAGAGCAATGACATCTCCATAGAAACAAGCAGGCGACAGACCCCCAACTAAAAAGTTACAAAGTGCATGTACATGCTAATTGATTTGCCAAGATGCAATTTCTCATTTCTAATGCAAATTACTACTCTTGATTCAGCTTCATTTTATATGTGGAAGACTTCAGAAGATATAATATTAGGTTTAAACTGTGAATCGCTATGGCAGCAGTCCTATTTTTTCTATTATTCTGAAACCCATGGACACATGCTAAATTGTAGCCTTCACAATAGTAGAAGTAGTTACAAGAACTAGCAGGGTTAGCTGGTGCTTGAAGAATCCATTCACAAAGACAAACAGGGAGCTCAGACTGAAGTGTGTTTGAAAACCTATGTGCAGTTTTCAATGTGCAATCAAAACTGCACATAGATCAGGGGAATGTGCAATCAAAACTGCACATAGGCTTAGGGAGTGTGCAAGCATTAATAGAATACAAGACTGTGAAGGGCTTGTCTGTAAAGAGTGACTTAAAGGTCCTGTTGGTGTGTCACTCGTGGTCATACTTGGTCTCTTTTTATGCATTTATTTTCTATGGTGGATGTTTGTGTGGTGCTTTTGTTGTTGTTTTGTCCTGTCTCTGTGATAAAGCAAATTTCTCCCATGGGACACGATAAAGGATTATCTTATCTTATCTTAAAATGCTCACTACTGTTGCTGTTGTAGTAGAACAATGTGTTTGAACTGACTACGATTATACGAGTTACCCTGTCCAGTGGTGGAAGGTAAGCACTAAAAAAAGTAAAAAGTAAAAGTACAATTCTTAGGTATCTGTACTTTACATAAGTCAGTTTTGGATACTGTACTTTTACTTCAGTACATTTGAGAGTATGTAACTGTATTTTCTATTTCACAACATTTTAGATCTGGACTGAAAAATAAAAATAATTTTCTGTCTATCTAGTTTCTGTCTCAACTTTGAGCAAACCAAAAACAGAAAAATAGCTAGAAAAATGAAGAAATCAATTGAATAATTTAAAATCAGCCAAATTCTTGATAAAAATTACATTTCATGCTTTAATTTTAAAAATAAATCGCTGCAAAATACTCTTAAAGCACAATTTTAAACAGGTTCTTCATTAGTTTTACGTTTTTTTTACCTGAGTAATCTTTTGCCCCCATATCTGTACATTTACTTAAGTACCAAACTGAGTACTTCATCCACCACTGACCCTGTCGTAGTGTTAGCTTTATCCAGGGTAGCATCAGTTTGACATCAGTGAAAACCCCAGGAGAGCCTCTTTGCGAAGGGGGGCGACTGGAGTTAAATTCCCAGCTCCGCCCACAGCCTTTGCCCCAGGAAGTTACACCCAGAGCTACCCAGTGACCGCCGGCCGAGCCCACCGGACATACCAGAGGTCCGCCAGAGTCCCCCTGAGGAAAGGGATACTATTTACAGATGTCCGTGGGGTTATGAGAATGAATACAGTCTAATGTGGTAGTGTTTTACCTGACAGGCGTCTTTACCTCCTGTCTCTGGACCTGCACACAGAACAGTCAGAGCTGGTGGGGGTCTGTGGAGCCTCTGTGGGGACAGTATGGCACTTTTCAAAGTCTGGAGAACATGTTTACACTTAGCTGGGTCTACTAAGTTTAACTGGACCTCACGAAGAGTTCTAGAAAGATGTCCCCCTGAAAGAGATATGCAATACAGTTCACTTTATGCAGCCTCAGCTGAACTTGTACTTGTTCTGCTGTTTTATTGATGCAGCTCTTCACATTTATCTAGACCTGTGTGGTGTTTCCACTTTTATCAATGCCTGATCTTGACTGATCTTGAAAGCTAAGCAGGGCCCAGCCTGGTTGGTACTTGGATGGGAGACTATGGGGAATACCAGATGCAACAGTGAATCAGCAGTGGCTATACAGCAAACATTGTGTCCTTAGGCAAGACACTTTATCCACCTTGCCTAGTGTGAATGTGGTGAGTGGGTGAGTGATTGTCTTGTTAAAGGTCCTATGCACCACAAAATTGATTCTTGTGAACTTTTAGCCATGTTATAATATTGTTACCTCATCAAAAACATACTTGGAATTGTGCTGTGTTTCATTCACATCTTATCCTTTTATATACAGTACTATAGTCTATCTACATCTCCAAAGCTCAAAATGCTCTGTTCCACCTTGTCTTGTGATGTCACAAATGGTAGCTTTCAAGTTAATAGCTGCCTTTTACCTTCAGTTTAGGAGTGATGAAATTATCCAAATGACTGAAGTGAAGGTTTAATGGAGTTTAAAAACACAGTGGAGCACTTCCTGTATGACCACATGACATCACAAGGTGGAACAGAGTGTTTTTCGTGTGGGCCTAAATATGCAGAGTTTGGGTTAAACATGTGTGAATGAAACTAAACACAACTTCAGATATGTTTATGTTTGTTTGTGATGATGAAACAACATTATAACATAGATGAGAAAATAGTGTCATATGGGCCCTTTATACCGTACATATATCATAATCAAGTGCACTTACTTTCTTTGGTTTTTCCCCACCCGGCCACAACGCATTTAGCATCAGGTTGAGTGTGGTCATCAAAAAGAGGAAGGCATACAGGCTGCACCAGCTTCCCTGTAAAAAACAGGTTCATTACTAAATCAAGCTTCAGTGTGATGAGGGCAGACTTCAGGACAGATGAGATGATACCTAAACAAATGGGCTCATTTAGTTCCAACAGAGCGAGGTCATAGTTCATAGGGAGAGTGGGATGGTACTTCTCATGAACTGTGATGTTCTTGATGGTGAAAACCTGCTCCTCTTCATCGATTACATGTTGGTCAAAATCCCCAATCACCGCCCTCACACCTCTGAGGGCCTCCCTGCAAAGACAAGAGAATGACAATATGCAGCATTAATATCACTTTTTAAAAGATATTTTTATATTGAAAGATTAACAAAAACACACAGAAACAATGTATAAAAAAAAAAAAAAAAATAATAATAATAATAATAATAATGATAAAAACCGACAGTTGTAAATGATAATTACAAGCTGCATACTGGTAAACAATGACTTTGGGTCTCTAAATGTCCTCAGCTTTTCCTCTTGACATAAATAAATCTTTCCAGTGCAACACAAGATGCCAGTTCTATAATCATAGCCACATTTTTCCAAAATAAGGCAATAATTTTCCAGGCCTGCAGGAGACCAAAACAAGTAAATCTTTGGGATATAAACCCAAGAGTGTTGCCTCTATGTATTAATATTAGTTTGAATTAGTTGGCAATTATTACGAAGGCATGCTAAATATTCTCAGAAATAGAGTTGCTTGTATTTACCTTGAGGCTGATGAAAAGCAGTGTGCCGCGGTCATCACCCAGCGGGGGCTCAAAATGGCTCCTCCACAGAAATGATAGCTTTGTTTTCTGAGAGAGACCTAAATATGACCAAAACATATAGACCATTACAGAGGAAAGGAGTTTAAAACACAAACAATGACATTTATAGTATGAATTTAAGGGCCAGGAAAATGTTGCTGAGGTTTTAGGTCATGGTAAATAAGATGCATTTACTATTTTTGTTTGGTATGAACTTGTAGATTTGTTAAAACATCATATATTTTTGAAAAATATAAATAATTTCATAAGGAAGTTACTTAAGAAATTATGTGACCACTAGTAAATGTCACACTAATTACAAAAATGTGAGATAACTTTTGAAATAACAGTAACACAAGCAGTATAGTGAGAGATACAGGACTACACCCATATACTATGCTCCAAACAATTATACAAAAACTCAAACTTATGTAGATAACCCTGGGTCAATCATGATTTAATTGTTACAATGTTCTCCTTATACAATGTTCTCCTCATTTACTATATTTCTATATTCAGTCATTGTACGTCTACAATACTTATGCTTTACTTGACACCAGTCCCTTGCTATTTTTGTAACTTATTTTTAATTTGTTATTGCCGTTTATATTTCTGCTGTTTGTTATTATAATATATCGTGATGTGAGACCTACTCTGTCCAAATAATTTCCCTTGTGAATAAATAAAGTCTAATGTTTACAGGAGGCAGAATTTATCAGCTGTGGTTCTTCTGTTGTTTAATATAGGTCAGCACAGAGAGCAAGACACAGAAAGCAATGTGGTGAGGCAAGTGTCACTTTCTGTAACAGATCAGGAAGGAGGAAGTGTGGAGACATGTGGTTGGTGTAACAGCATCAGAATTACTGACCAGCCATGGGTGTGATCCGTGTGTGGCTTCAGCTCCACCAACCACCCTCAGAGCATGGACCAGGGGGCTCCACACGCCAGGAACTCCACACTTTGAACCTAGAGCCGAGAATCATGCCAGCAAACAAAGTTTAAAGAGCCCATATTGTGCTATTTTCTGATCTATGTTACAATGCTGTTTCCTCGTCACCAACATACCCAGACCTGTGTTTTGTTTCATTCACACATGTTTAACACACAAACCCTGCATATTTAGGCTGAGTTCTTCTCTCAAACATAAAACACTGTGTTCCACTTTGTGATGTCATGTGGTAATACAGGAAGTGCTCCACTGTGTTTTTAAAATCCATGCACCTTCACTAGAATCATTTAGATAATTTCAGATCTGGAATTGCTAATCTCTTCTGAAGTTAAAAGTAGTTGTTAATTTGAAAGCTACTGCTTCATGACATCACAAGGTGGAACAGAGCTTTTTGAGCTTTGGAGGTGTAAACAGACTAGTAATAAAGGATTATTCATACATATGTGAATGAAACACAACTCTTTGTTTTTAATGTATTTTTTATGTTTATGTTTTTATGTAACTTTTCTGGTGGAGGATCTGCCACCTGCTTGTCTCCATGTTTGCTTTTCCAGGAATGTTCCACAGATAGGCATTAAACTGATCTGTCTCCATGGGGACAAGCAGCTAATGTAACCAGTCTAAATAACAAGTCAAATCCATGGAGAGTAGTACAATATTTTTTTTAGAATTCTCAGTAGTAATAAAAACACCTGTAATTTTATTTATGAATGTATTTATGTGTTTATTTATTTATGCATTTATTTATTTCAGACACAAACCAGCCCATAAAGTTCATTAAAAAGTACAGAGTTTCTGTGTCCAGTACTTTCTCGAGGTTTAATGGCATGAACTCATTTGAGGATTGGTCAAAGTCTTTATGGTGGCGTTTTCAGATACCTGAACATTTAGACGATAGATACGGAACATTCAAGGTAAAACAAGAACATCTCAACACACAAGCAAGTAGTGGAAATAAATTGAATTGTTCTGACTTACCTGGTGGAGCAGTGTAAGAGCCAGTATTAGTCCAGAGGCACAGAAACACCAGAGTAACAAGTGTCTTCTTCATGTTGAAAGCACACGGATCCAGAGAGGAGCAGCAGCAGTTATACTTTACAGAGGCTTCCGGGGCGGTCAGAGCTTCAAATGTTACAAGAACATTGTCAAAAGGCCTGTGCTGTCAAGGTCATCTGTTGCCTGGTGTGGGCAGACTACCATGGGGAGTGGGTGGTGATGAATGCAGTTGTAAAATGCACACAAAGCTTGGAGTTGGAGACTGATGCATTTTTATTTTACCTGGGGACCTGATAGTAAAAGTAATATTCAGGTATTACAGTTTTTAATTATTTTGTAGTCTTGTTTTTTTTTTTTTTTTTTTAACCATGTGGAGAAATTAAAGACATTGTGATTTTGATGTAGTGCCTCTTAAAGGGCCCAGGTTACACTATTTCCTGATCTGTTATAATATTGTTTCCTCATCAAAAAGAGGCCTTTCCTGGAATTGTGTTTTGTTTCATTCAAATGTTTAACACACAAACCCTGCATATTTAGGAGGAGTTCTTCTCTCAAACAGAATATATTTTGTCACATTGTGATGTCATGTGGTGATACAGGAAGTGCTCCACTGTGGTTTCACTACATCATTTGGATGATTTCAGCCCTGGAATTTCCTATCTCTACTGAATAAAAGATAAAAGCTAGCTGATAACTTGAAAACTACAGCTTCATGACATCACAAGGTGGAGCAGAGCATTTTGAGATATGGAGATGATAATAAAAGATTACTCAAAGATGTGAATGAATCAAAACACAACTCCAGATAGATTTTTGTTGAGGAAACAACAATCTAACATGAATAAAAGCTCACAAGAGTAAATTTTATGTAATTTGAGTAAGTCACATTTGCTGATATATGTATGTACTATGCATGTATGTAGCCTGTAGAATATTCAGATACAAATAACTATAATTACATCTCCTGCAATTACTATTCTGTATATATATCAAACTAAAATGCACTAAGAAAAACAAAAAAGTTGTTTCTGAAATTTCTGAAAAGAAGTGTTTTTCATAGGGAGACTACATGACCTTTGACACTGAAGAGGAGAGAAAGATGTGAAAAAGAAACAAAAAGTGGGTTAATACCACACAGCGCAGTCACAGAGTTAGACAATCACAGTGAGTCTTTGTGGGTCAGGATGACCTTTACCACAGTCTTTACAGAGCTGGAAACCCTCTACCACAGCACAGTGTTATTAGCTCTGACACAAATGCATAAAGGTTAACAGGCTTGATTTTGTCATTTTATTTCATAGTGTATTAAAACAGCTCAAATAAATCAGAAGTTGAAGGCACTTACTGGACAAACAGCATAGCCTGTTGTGATTAGAACAGTACATGAGGAGCAGTACTTTGTGTCATCTTTATGTGGGACAGAAGGTGCACTGTGTATTTCACTGTAGCAAGACTAGTATCCAAGGAAGTGGACACATGTTACCAATAATTTACCCCTCAAGACTTTACATTTACTTGACATTTGAGATACAATAGTTCTGTCTTTTCTGACTGTTAGATATACTTGCAATCAGTGTATTTGTCCTTCAAGCCCATGGCAAGAAACCCAAACTCTGAAATTGATTGTCACAGTATAGGAAATAAAGGAATGAGAACCTCCCACATCAATTTCTTGAAACTGGTGCATTAGAGAAGAAGGAGCAGCCCAAAAACATGAACAGAGAAAAGTCCTTCACACTGTCTTACTTACACTTCTTGTCTACACTTCTGTTCTTAAATTGATCACATCAGATTTAGATTTTCACCATTTTAACAACTCCAACTCCAGATAACAGATGATGACAGATTCTTGGTATTTTTAAGCAATACATTTTTACTGAATTATAATGACTAAGACACAGCAGCTGATTTGGCAGGCTGAGAGACTCTATGTGGTTTGCTATATTTATCAGACAGACAGGTGTTATTTAGGATCTAGCTGCTCCATGCTGAGTACTGGGTGCATGTTGTGTGAGGGTGTGTGTGTGTGTGTGTGTGTGTGTGTGTTGGGTGTGTATGTGTTTGGGCCTCTGAGTTAATCCCTGAAAGCCACTGTTTCCTGTTGATTCAGAGCAGCAACAGTCCCACTGGAGCCATGAGACACTACAGGGAACTCAGGAGCAAAGGCTGCTGGGAAATGGCAACCTGGAGGCCGTTACCAGGTGTAGCATGGTGCTCTGGGAATCATAGTACATTTATAACAGCCTACAACCACTTACACAGAGGCTGACTTTAGTGTTTTCTGCCATTCCTCTACTTAATTTACTACTACCACTACTACTACTTCTACTACTACTATTTAATATATTAAGAAATGTTATTAAAAAATTAAGTCTAAATGAATTCCATTTAGACTTTAAAAATATTGCAGTCCATATGCCAAGATGCCATAGCATTTATTAGCAACGCATAAAGCCAGTCAATGTTATAGCCCCTATAAACAAGAGATATTAATATTATATTGACGAGGTCTGTTGGCCAAGGAGTTTCATAATCAGTGTTAGGAAGCAACTGAATAATGTTCCAAAAATACATATTCTGAATACTAATTTTGAGCATTCTTGTAGTTACTTTATAATTTGGTGACATTCAGAATGCAATTAATCAAAATCAAAGGAATACTTGGTGGCATTTGATTTGATTTTAGCTTTGTACTGGTGAGAAAAAAAACACAGCTCTTGCAATGTGTGCAATTCCTTTTCTAATTAGACATAATTGAATGCATAACAAACTGTGCAACAAAATCAAGCTGTTTGGAATTTTCACTATAATATAATGCAACTCCAAGTATTCTAAATATTCAGAATTTACTGAAATCCTCAGTGTACAGCATCATTTTTTACAATGTCTGAGTATGTACATGTTTTAAGCATAGTTACTGTTGAAATAGTTTATCATGGCCTCTCATCATGTTATGAGAGGTCACATGAGAGCATAGAACACATAACAATCAAACTAAATGTATTTGGCACATAAACATTGAAATAAAACGTGAATGTAAAAAATAGCTGTAGTAATGGTTGAATTTACAAAATTGGTAAAAATGTGAAGACACAGTATTCATGTTAATTGTACACTTCAAATAATCTCATTATTCTAATAGTACTAGATGTGGGATATATTGATTTCAAGGTATGTATAATTTGACTATCAAGTTTATCATTTACAATTAGAAACCAGGCAGCAAAAGTAGATGATTAAAAGTAAAAAGACCATTTAATCTCACTGTGTTTCAGCACATTACAGATTGACTGACAAAATATTACCTGGTCATCCACTGCTAATTAACCCTCTTGGTTTACTGTGTTAGGAAACAGTTGCTAGTATCATCAGAAGGAACAACCACAAATACACCAAAGTACTTGTGTAATGGTGTGTGGTTAACTACCACACTAAATATAGCCTTCAGGCCTACAAAAAACACAGACACATCTACACAAGTCTGTCTTAACCTCAATTTAATTGTAATGTTAAAATAAGTTGATTTTTGCATATCTTCTCACAGCCTCTTCGAGATCACCTCACAGGAGGACGTGCCTAAATGGTACAGGACCACTGGACCACTCAGTTTGGACTTCTCATCTGAGGAAAGACCTGAGGAGGATCAAGACCCTGAATCCTAAAATCCCTCGACATCTTCCAGTCTCACCTGAACATTGCGAAAGGGTAATCCGAAATTTAAAGTCGCTGTTTCGGCTGACCAAGTGCTTGGCAATAAATGTTCCAGAGTGAATCACGGAACAGGTTGGTGGCAGATTTGTCCCATTTGGATCCTACACTTTGGGCATCAACCCAAAGGAAGCTGACATCAACCTGAGATAACATTTATATGTCTTTTTTTAAGAATGCAGATGGGTGTACACCATTATGAACCACTCTATATCGTGCAAAATAAAAGAGTACCAGGTCCTCTATTAATACCATAGTGAGATGATTAATACATCGTAGTTGTTCCCTAAGGCGTATCTTTTCTAGGCCATTCCCATAAAGCCAGCTCACACATTCAGTGTTAATCCTGAATGGCACTATTAAATCTTAATGGACTCGTTCAATATCCATCCAGTGTGTGAGGTGATCTGTTCTGCATCAGGAAGCAGGTCACATGGACACAATGCTGCTAATGGTCCCATTGCATTGTTGTCTATTCTTTTAACAGCATCTGGAAAAGTAACACACATAGGCCATAGAGGATTTTAAAGGTTTATTCCATTTGGGTATACAAACTAAAGGCACCCATTGAATTGTTGTTGAACATTTGATATTACTGAAAGTACAGGGAACATTTACAAAAAACAGAAGAGACAGAACCCATAGGAACAGACTGTCACATTGGTTATAAGGGACTTAGGGCTTTTATATCTTGTAAACATCAGTAACAGACCAGAAGAAACCACATGAAAAAGTTGAGACGTAGCCGTGAATGACTAGAATGCAAAGGGATGAAGGGTAAGAAAATGTAACAGAAAATCTATGGTTGTTACAGTAATTGTAGCTGGCCTCAAACTTGGAAGTAAATTTAAAGGTGAATTGTATAACTTTTCTGGTGGAGGGCCATCAAATGCTTTTCTCCATGGAGATGTTATTGCATTGTCTGGAATGTTTCACAATGTGGTATTAAACATTTTCTAGGCATTTTTGAGCTATAAAACTGCATGTACTGTAATAAAGGTAAGGTAGAGCTGTTTAATGTCATACTGTGGAACATTCCAGCCAGAGCAATGACATATCCATAGAAACATGCAGGTGACAGACCATCCCTCCCAAAAAGTTATAGTGCACCTTTAAATACAGATTGATTTTTACAGCTGAATGCCATTACACCTCTGCTCACATTATTAACATTCAATAAACCAATAACTGACAACTACCACACAGTCCAATCTCAGACAACCATATATGGATGAATATTTGACATGAACTCAAAATAAACTTGCTGCTTGTGCCATGTCCTTCACAGAAGGGCGAATTCATCACGTTATCAAGACTAAGAAATCTCAAGAACTGGTCATTTCTCTTACTTCTCAAACAGTGGAAAACCCTGAATAAGACACAGCATAAGTCCAAGAGCATCATTCACCATCAGCATCAGGCAATTTCAACCGTAGAAAAATTAACAGTATGGAATATTTCTTCATCTGCATTATCAAAATATCCAGACTGTTAATTACATTCATAGCATACAAAACACACACAGAGCAAGAAGCAGAATTCACTCATAGCCCCTTGAGTAACAGCCGACAATAACAGCATAAAAATACATACTTTTGTCTACGTAAATATAGCTTTACACACAGTCAGTACAAAACATACATCTGATTTCTCTGTTTCACATTGAGACCACAGACCAATGTTCAGGCACGATTCTTGCACCATGGTTTCACAAAGGGTGGGTTTTTTCAACACACTGGCTCCTGTGTGAACTGGATTATGTGTGAAGGGTTGAAACTTAGAAGACTCCAAGAAAAGTAAAATAGCCGGTTTAACATGAAAGCACACATATTTGGATTCATTAAATTTAAAAAAATATATTCATGAAAATGAAATAATTACTGAACTACACTAGATGGAATGGTAAGAATGTACACAAAAGTATAAAATAAATGAACAAAAAGTGAACTGCAACTGCTAAAGAGTCCATGGTCCATGTTCAAAATTTTCAACCAAAATCAGCTTTAATCCACGCAACTTCAACCCCTTCATCCTCCAGTGTACTACGAGTCAGAGAGCTAAGAGGTCAAAGGTTACTGTAGGCACTGAATGAAGGTAAGCAGTTTTGAAAATTATAACTGCCATTTGTGAGAACAAGTCAAAGAGCAAAAACAAGTCCAGAAATTATCCATTATCGTGAACAAAAAGGTGTTAAAGCCATACAAGTTGCTCTTTACTGAAGTGCTCACATCAAGTATTTTACAGTTGATTATTGGTTAAGTCATCCAATTTCCAAATACATGCAAACAAAACTCCTTTAGGCATTATATCATAACATTTTGCAGATGGTTCACACAAATGGATTATTAATGCTTTGTATTGATGGCAGTGATCGAGATTTTCATTCAAAATGTAAGATTTCATAAAGTGAGTTGAATAAGAGGTGAATGCTAAAGCACTTGGGGTTGTCTAGATACCTGTAATGTTTAGGGGTTCAAAACTCAAATTTATTTCCATGCATAGCTTCATGTACTGCAGCCAGGTGAGAGAGCAGATCAGCAGTGCTTGGTAGTATGAGGGTTTGAGTGAAGGGAGCTGGTTCGTCCTCTGAGCATTGATTCATGTCCTTTCGGATGCTTACAATCCATCTCACCATCTCCACTTCTGTAACGACGATCTCTGCAGCTTTGTTCCTTCGTGCTGTGACTTTGTGGGTTATGTTTACGCAGCTTTTTAAAGAGAGAGCTGCATGCAGTTCAGTCCAGCGGTCGTCTCCTGGTCATTATCTCATGGTGGAGGAAGCTCTGAAGTAAGACAGAAACTTGAAGCACATGCTGACCACAAAGTACCAAATGTTTCTGGCCATTTGTGAACGAGCGATGAAAATGCGCCAGATTAGCACAACTAAGACTGTGTTGAAGGTGTAACGGATGTTTCTCAGTCTGAAAAACAATGAAAGATTATGTTAGAAGAGTACCTTAGACATTAGATGAAAATTGTTAGTTTTAATCATTACTGGTCAAGGGAAATACTCCTTGAATAAGCAGGTGCAGGTGACTTTATATGCAAGTTAGATGATGATGATGATGTTATACTCTGTTCAGTCAGTGTTGGGAAGTAACTGAATATATGTAGCATAAAAAAAGTGTACCAGAATACAGGTACTCAAAATGGGTATTCTGAATAGTTACTTTTTCATCTGGTGGTATTATAAAAATAGAAAACATCACTCTTATGCAAATGTAATTTTTCCTTTTCTAGAAATGCATAACAAAAAATTAAACAAAGCTGTTTTCTATTCTATATTGCGTCTTTAAACTTTAAATTATGTGCAACTCTGTGTGAAAGTATTCTAAGTATTCAGAATACCATACTTTGATTGACTTATGTATCAGAATAGCTTACAAAATACTAATTTAACACAGCTATTCAGTATTTTATAACTAATTACATTTCCTTCTTTCTTCCCATCACTGTATTCAGTAGCATCATAAAGGCAACAATATGAAAATGGACATGGGGAAAGTTCAGCGCACCAAGATTACAATATTACATGCAAACTGATATATGGTTTACATAAAATTCTGTTACAATAGAAAGAATTTACATGGCATTTGTTAAAGGCAAAGATTAGTCCACATGACAGATGCTCAGTTTAAAGCATTCAAGAGGCTAATGCTAGGATGAAGCCAGGCAGAGAACTAATGTATGAGATAATGTATGCAGTCTAATGATGCAGGAGTAATGCAGTGGCAGATGGTAGTACACAGTCTCTTACTTGTTGAGGTGTTTGCGTGCAGCGGGCAGCCCTGACAGTTCCATTTAGGACATATTTTTTGGTGCCCATGCAGTAACTTTCCATGTACTCTGCCCAGTGAAGCTGCCGCACGTCAAAGTTGAACACCTGGAAGAATGAAAACAGATTATGGGTTGTTTCATTTAGCAACTCCTATCCTGCCCTATAACAATACTTAATTCATCCTGATGAGTTCTACAGATGAGGAGATGTTTTATTAAGGTTAAGGAGCTACCTCAAGCCCTCTTCAACTAGAGGTATTGTTTAAGTATGTACAGTTCACGAAGTAAATCTGCAAGTGCTTACAAAAATATGCAAATTGTCCTTGCATCTACTGAAAGAACCTCCTTATTCTTAATTTCCTACATGCATAGATTAGTCAGGTGGCCGAGGTGATTACTGTAAGAAATCATTTGTTCTGCAGATTCTGCCAGATAGAAGATCAAATTAAAACAACAAATATAAAGTTACCTTCTTATCCTCTGGGCTCATGTGGGTCATGAGCATGGCCACGTTGTCTGTGTGCCACACCCACGAGTGACTGGTGAAGTACTCCAGCACCATCATGGCTTTGTGCAGCCGACTGATGGTCTTCATCATCCTGACATTAAACACCACCCAGAGGAGCAGGTTAGAAACACATGATCAGGGGTCAGGGCAGTAACGCTAATAGAGAGGGTCCCCACTGTTCTCTGGAAATGGATTTCTGATTGATTGACCTTAAATCTCCAGGAGAGGCGGAATATTTAGTTTGAGTCAAGCAGGTGCCTGAATAATATGTATAATGCTTTATTTAAACAGTTTAGTGTGTGGAGGATGGGGGCACAACACAAAATGCAAAGACACCATCTTCTATTTTAGTTTTTAAGGAGAAGTTTGTAGTCAATTAAAATTCTATAAATTCAGGCAATATATAAATCGACTCAAAAATACTGGTAGAGATTACTGGCCATGAGTTTCTCTGGATTGTAAACTATCTGTATTGGTGATGAAAAAAACAAAAAACAAAACATTGGTCGATCTCTAATGAGAACATACAATGTAAATTAGTCAGCTGAATAAATTCCATTTCCAGGACTCTTGGGAACAGATTTTTGTAGATGAAAATATTTAGAGAAATCACATGTAAAGAATGGATTAACAAAAATGAATAAGCAGGAAAGACTGAGCTAATTTTGTATCATTTAGCCATTAGTCAAAATGAGGGGATCATGGTTCATTTCACAAATGCACACAAAACACACAAAAGAACACAATGCTGAGAAACATTTAGAATAAATAGATACACATTAGTGAGTGGTTTACAATGAAAAACATAGGTTATTTGTGAAGCAGAGAAGCAGATGTTTTCTGAGCCTTTATGCAAAAGAGTAATCAAATTTAAGACCAAATGATAAACACATGATGTAGATTTGATAATTCACTTGAACATTCCAACAGGCTCAGAATAAATCTTTGAAAGGAAAGTGTGGGAAATCAGCCTTAATCTATCAATATGCAAGCACAGCTAAATGATTGTTAAAATGAAGATCAGATCACCACAACTTAAGTCTGGAGTTACTTCTGCCCTGTCTTCAACCAGAGGGGATTATAGCTGGCCCATGCACAGCCCTCGTTATACTATTCACCTCATGATTAGCCGTATTGCTGTGATGTATGAGCCCTTTCCAGTGATTGGAGGAGAATGACAGAACGCCATGTTCACAGCACAGCATTCCCACACACGGCAATGCTGACGACATGTGACAGGGACGGCATCACACAGGAAGTACACCTCAAACATTTTGTTCTGAGCCTGTCATCGGCACAGCTCTGCACTGACAAGCTGCTTTATCAGTTCATGCATCAGGTAAGACTATTACGTAAACCATGTTGGTTACTCTGACAACCATGGAGAGGTGCTGTATTAAATATAAAATATTTACAATAAAGCTAAAATAGAACCCATTGTTGTCAGTGGTAGATAAATATAACAGTAAGAAAAATAGACAAACTAGGAAAGGTAATATCATTAATGCAGTAGAAATAAAGTTACACATACCACATTTAGTACTTGCACCTTTACAGCTATAATCAGAAGATTGTGTATTAAACTTTGTCCATTCTACTGCCCTATAGATAAGATTTTGATGCAAACAACTGGAAACAGCTGTAATTCTGAAATAGATCAGACTCCAGACCCAGAACAAAGAGCTGTAAGAACATAGTGGAGAGGGTTGGGGAGACAGGCAAGACTATTATGGCCTTACCGGGGCTTTTGACCCGTTAGCTTCATGTAGCAGTCATATAGCAGGGCCGGCAGCGTGTGGCTGACCGCGGTCCAGTACTGATTAGTAAAGGGGTTGGAGCGCAGGTTAACATTGGGCCTTCTGAAAGCCTGCTCTAATGGGTTGGTCTTGAACGTCATGTTTATACAATACTCTGTAGGGAGAGATACATATGGCATATACATATAGCGGGTCAAGAACTGAAGTAAAACTGGGAGAAATTTTCAGGACTGCACCAAAACTGAGGATCAGTACAACTGCCCTACATTGTTACCACTCACTTCCCCCTGCATCAATACTTTTTATATGAGCTGAACTATGAGAAATTTTGTGCTGACATTTTATAAATGCAGACCTACGTACTCACTGCAGGCAACTGAGATAAAGCATTTGGAATCCCAAACCTGCACAGGGAACTAACTCAGTGGTTCAGAGACTACAACTACAAAAAAGGACGCACAAACCTAAAAAAATAACATTAGTACTGCATTTACGAAGCGTCTATAGTCAAAAATTGCAAATAAAAAAGGAGCTGAGAAGTGAGAGACAGAAGTGCTGGCGTAAGACGGAGAGGCAGAACATCCTGGTCACTGATTACCTGGGCTCTCGACCAATCATCCTTAAGTACAGATCATACATGAACGCTGGGGCCTTGTGGCTCACAGCGATCCAGTACTGATTGATCAGGTGATAGGACGTGAGATTAACATTGGGCCGGCGAAAAGCCTGCTCAAGTGGGTTCCTCTTGAATGTGGATATAACATGGTACTCTGAGAGACACAAGGTTGTCACACAGGTCAGCATTTTAGACTCTATGGTCTTGTCAAACAGGCAGCAAAATTTGCACTTACCTTCTATATTTTATATGTG